TCCCTAGTACAGGTCTCCTGCGTGAGTAGGGGGTTGGAATAGATGACCTCCAAGGTCCCTTCCAACTCTGTTTTTGTTCTTCTCAACCTAGGAGAGGGAAGCAGGAGAAGAACTCATGGGATGACCACAGTAGCCTTGAAATTATCACCATCCAGGCATTAGCTGGAGCAGAAATCTTCCACCGTTTGCATAATTTCCACTCATCTCCCATCTTGACATAAACCACGGTCAATCCAGGGTTTGTCTGACTCCTGGGTGAATCCCAAGCGTGGAAAAGGTTTCTGATCATGCGAGTGACAGGTTTAGACCAGGGGTCCTCAAACTTTTTAAACAAGGGCCCAATTCACGGTCCCTCAGACTGTTGGCGGGGGCTCGAACCGGGTAGGGTGGGCGTGGCTAAGTGGGCATGTGACGGGGCGGGCGTGGCTAGACAGTCATGTGACTGGGTGGGCGTGGCCAATTTAGCAGTCCAGAGCAAGCTTTTGAAATGATGGTAGCCTGGGCTGACAGAGGAACACTCTTCACCAAACACTGATATCCGAAGCAGGGCAAGGGGTCACTCTTTGCGGCTTGAGACGGTCACCGCAGTGGCCAATGCAGCCAGATTAGGAGAAGACACACAAGGTACAGTCTTAGTTGTGGTTGGGTTGGAAGTAGAACAAGGCTGGTGGTTTCATCGCCTGGGAATATTTCAGACTTTCTGCTGCCTTGTTTTTTTTTTGTTTTTGTTTTTGTTTTAATTTGATTTATATGCCGCCCTTCTCCGGAGACTCAGGGCGGCTTACAATGCGTTAAGCAATAGCCTTCATACTTTTGTATATTTATACAAAGTCAGCTTATTGCCCCCACAAACTGGGTCCTCAATTTACCTACCTTAGAAAGGATGGAAGGCCGAGTCAACCTTGAGCCTGGTAAGATTCGAACCTGCAGTAATTGCAGGCAGCTGTGTTAATAACAGGGTGCATTAAACCACTGTACTACCAAGGCTCAGTTTTGGAGGATGGAAATAGTAAGTGGTGGAAATATATTACTATAGGTTCCCACCACATACCAGTAGCCCAGGGGAGATAAACTTAAGGGTTTTTTTTCAATCTTCTAATCAACCTTTCTGAAAGGAATTAGCAACTCAGTGCCTGTCACCAAAGGTGCTTTTATTTTAAAGGCAAGACGGATTTTTCTTTGAGGTGTTTCACTTCACATCCAAGAAGCTTCTTCAGTTCCAGCGGTTAGAACTGAAGAAGCTTCTTGGATGAGAAGCGAAATGTGATCAGAAAATCCAGTCGCCTTTAAAATAAAAGTATCTTTGGGACAACCACGATATGGATGAGTGACAACCTCCGTAGACAACCCAGGACCTGTAATGTCCACTAGATGGCACTCCTAGACTTCTGAAATTCAATTGATAAATCCTCCCTTCCCCCCCCCACCACTCCAAAATGTAGTAGATTGAATGGTTTTGAAGGTTGCTCAGGAGATATGGGACATTTTAAATCACATTTAAATCAGTCCGTTGGAGATAGGGCGGCATATAAGTTAAGTTAAAGTTAAGTTATATTTGCAATGCTGTGAATTTAGAAGATGGGATCTGCTGCCCCCTGAAGGGGTTTTTAGGAATTTAAATTTGGTGAGAAAGTTGGTAGGATGAAAGAGTTACCGGCTAGAATTTACTCGTATGTCTATTTTTAACATAGGGACGTGGTGGCTCAGTGGCTAAGATGCTGAGCTTGTCGATCGAAAGGTCGGCAGTTCAGCAGTTCGAATCCCTAGTGCCACGTAATGGGGTGAGCTCCCGTTACTTGTCCCAGCTTCTGCCAACCTAGAAGTTCGAAAGCAGGTAAAAAATGCAAGTAGAAAAAATAGGGACCACCTTTGGTGGGAAGGTAACAGCGTTCCGTGTGCCTTTGGTGTTGAATCATGCCGGCCACATGACCACGGAGACGTCTTCGGAGAGCGCCGGCTCTTTGGCTTTGAAACGGAGATGAGCATCGCCCCCTAGAGTCGGGAACGACTAGCACATACGCGCGAGGGGAACCTTTACCTTTACCTTTAATCGGTCAGTGCCTGGTTTCCATTTGAAAAAGGGGCTTGTTAATTCAGCTTTCAATATAAGCTTCCCCTTAGGGTAGTTAAAATGGCAGCCATTTTAATCGACTCTTCGGTCTCCGCACACCACATTCCCGAACAGAACGGGAATACAAAACTCTCTTTCAAAAGAGTTGTGGCTGCAGTTGAAGTAGCTATGAAAAACAGGGCTAAATCAATCTTTATTTTTCTAGGTGGGCTTCATCCATTCAGTGACTGTTAATGAGCTCTGGGATTCAGGTGGAGGACTAAAACTCGAGGCCTTTGGCATGTCGAGCTTTTGATCATAATGGCCTTGCATAGATCTACAGCAGAGGTCCTCAAACTTGGCAGCTTTAAGACTTATGGACTTCAACTCCCAGAATTCCCTAGCTAGCATTCCATGTTGGCCTGGAGAATTCTGGGAATTGAAGTCCACAAGTCTTAAAGCTGCCAAGTTTGAAGACTTCTGGTCTACGGCATCTGTATCATTAGAAGGAAGCTTATGACTAGTTATTCACATAGTATGTATGTTGTTGTAACATGTTGTGACATTTTTGCGGGGGTTGGATCACTGTGTAGTCCTGCCAAGCTCAGAACAAACCATCATTCTTTCTTTTTGAGACTATCCCATCCATCATTTGATTTTTCCTACGCCAAAAAAAACAAATAAATAAATAAATTCCCCATAAACCTCGGAGAAAATCTGCAACGCAACCCTTCCCTTCCCAAACTGGAAGAGGAGATAAGAAACAGAAGGCGGCCAATTAATGCCCAAAGACTTCAAACGTGATGTCTGATCCTTTGATATTCAGAGTTGATCCTTTGATATTTAAAATTCCAGTTTGCTTTAATGTGCTGCCTGACGTAGAGCTATTGACGTCGTCCCGTGAATTGAACGCACCTGTTATTCAGGTTTTTCTAGCAAAACCCCTAGGATTCCCAATCTTCTTCATTCAGATTTAAGGATTCGCAACCATCTACTACAAGGTGGAGAGGACTCACCTTCGTGGTAATGTCGGGATGGGTAAATCTGTGATCCTCCAGACACGGGCCTACAATTCCTATAGGTGCCATCTCTTAGCCACGCCATATGGAGCTGGTGAGAACCATAACTGAACCTTCACCTCAGTGGTGGGCTTCAAATTTTTTTACTACCAGTTCTGTGGGTGTGGCTTTGTGGGCGTGGCATGGCTTGGTGGGCATGGCAGGGGAAGGTTACTGCAAAATCCCCATTTCCTCCCGATCAGCTGGGACTTGGGAGGCAGAGAATAGATGGGGGCGGGGCAAGTCAGAATTTTTACTACCGGTTCTCCAAACTACTCAAAATTTCTGCTACCGGTTCTCCAGAACTGGTCAGAACCTGCTAAAACACACCTCTGCTTCACTTGGGAAAAATCATAGATTCATCACCATTTCTTCCAAGTTCATTTCTTTCAACAAAAAAAAAACCAAACTTGCGTGTTGACATTAGTGAAGATCCACTTCCTAATCTACTCCAGTCGTGTACTAGAGCGAGGATGTCCAATCTTGGCCACTTGAAAATCTGTGGACTTCCAATTCCCAGAATTCCCCAGCCAGCCATTACTGACTGTAATGTGAATTCTGGGAGTTGAAGTCCACAAGTGTCCAAGATTGGACAACCCTGTACTAGAGTCCTTTCTTTAGACTTTTACAGCAGCAACAAAGGGTATTATTCTCAGAGAGACAATAGTTCTGAAACTCGGGAAGTTTTTCCCAGAGGTAAATGCTTCCTAATTCTACTTGCTTCCATAATTTAAGACAGGACTTTGGGAGATCTGTCTTCCAATCTAAGCAGTTTGTGTGGAGTTCTGATCAGTCTTGTCTGGGTATCAATCCACCGAAGAAGACACTTGGTTAAAATGATTTTGCCTCTACGGGAGAACGCCCAAAAACCAGGCGTAGCGACTGTAGAAAGAGGCAACAATAAAACAATGAAACAATAAAACAATAAATGACTATATTTCCTTTGAAGTTTGGATCATGGCTCATGAATTAATTAGGGCATCTTTCGGAAACTTGACAGAGAGCACCGATAATGATAATAATAATAATAATAAAAAACCAATGACACCTCCGGTCTTCTGTTCATTATATTTTATTCATACTTTTATTCCATTTCTTTTTTCTAGCTACTTTACATTAAGATTTTGGCTTTGTAGCCTGTATAACTCCTAGCTTCTATCAACTCAAGCTTGTGGTTGGCTGATGATTTTCTGTTTCTGTTTTTTCATTTTTGTTTTTGTAATCAACTGATATTAGACCTCGCGCACAGCGCAAAGTTTAGTATAGATACAGACTCGCACAGACAGATCCTATGCACACTCACACTTGCGCACACAACCTCACACACTCGTACACACAATCGGGGGTTGGGCAGGGGGGTTGGGTTGGGTTGGGGAGAGAGAATTTTTTTTAGCATGTGGCCTGGCTCCAGAATTATGCTGTGAATTGTCCCAGATCCTTCCATCTGTCATGAATGCAGGGAAGGTGAGAAGGGAAATATTACTTGGCCTTCTGTCCAGTCCCTTTATAGTTCCCCCCCCTTTTTTTTTTGGAAAAGGGGACTCCTCTTTAGGGAGTCGAAAAATAGCCGGAGAAAAGCGGCAGCTTAAGAAGATGAGTTGTGGGGACCAAAATGTCATGCTTAAAGTGAGAGGAAAAATGGGGAAAGAAGAGAAATGGATGGATGCCCTCCATCCTTATCATGCAGGGAACCATCGTGAGATGGCTACCCTGTTTCCCCTCAAAATAAGACATCCCCTGATAATAAGCCCAATCGGGCTTTTGAGTGCATGGCAATAAGGCCAAGCGCTTATTTCAGGGTTCAAAAAATATATATAAGACAAGGTCTTATTTTCGGGGAAACACGGTACTTGTTCCTGTTTTGGAGCTGGATTATTGGAAATTTTATTGATTTATTTTATTTTATTCAATTTGTATACCGCCCTTCTCCTAGTGGACTCAGGGCGGTGCACAGCCAGAACTAAAACACATACCAATACAAAATTTAAAATTATTAAAAGAATTACATACTTTGGCCCAAATTTAAAACAATTCGAATTAAAACCCATTGACAAATTAAAAGCTAAAAACTAAAAAACTAAAAAAGAGCGTGGGGGGGGGGGGTGTTTCACGCCAGCCCTGCTTGATGGAAAAGAAAAGTTTTCAGGGCACGGCGAAAGACCCGGAGATCTGATATCCTTCGTATCTCCGGGGGCAAATCGTTTCAGAGGGCAGGAGCTGCCACAGAGAAGGCCCTCCCCCTGGGGGTCGCCAGCCGACTTTGCCTGGCTGATGTCACCTGAGGAGTCCCTCTCTGTGGGAGCGCACTGGTACGCTCCCCCCAACTCTGCCCTACGAAGACCTCAGAATCGCTAGGGAAAATATTGACCCATGGAGAAACATCTGAAGTGGACATCTGAAGTTGGGAAGGCTGTCCATCAAACCTTACCACGCCTCGACTGACCAAAGTAAAATGAGGTAATGTAAACACGGACAATCACCATCGTCAACCATCACCGCCGTTATCTTCACAGCAGCCGTGGTCAAAAAAAAAAAGAGCAGCAGATTGAGGATGATAAAGAAAGGGAGAACTTGCCTTCCTTGTTACCACTTCAGAACGCATCGTTGGCCAGAAGATGAAGCATTAAGTCTGGCCACTTAAGAGGGCAAAAATCCTAAAGGAGCCAATGTCCCATGTTGCTTGTTTTCAAGAAAGTGGGGGTGGGAGGGTAAAGGAGAAACGTGTTCTCAACAAGCAGGGTTCTGTGGCTGCAGCCGGGATAGTTAACCCTCTCATTTGGCTGATTGGCACATCTAGGGATGAATGGCACAAGAAGAGGAGTCATCTGTGCTTCCACCAGCATGAGCCAGAGAGCAGAGCATGAGAAACAATCTTAAAGAGGAAAGCAGGAGATGAAGATCCACATCAGAACATGGATCGCTAGGGACTACGAAGGTCTCACCAAGACCTTCTGAAGTTCTGGAGGTCCCAATCGACCAGTTCTCTCAGCAGAAGAAGTCCTTCTGGTACCTCTTCATGCACTCTGCTACAAAACTGACAAGCCAACCACAGGTTTTATGGATTGACTGTTGCAGGAGCCAAAAGGAACGGTCAGCTACGTTAAAAATGAAAACCCCCAGGACTTCGGAACCTCAGAAATCAAAACTGGAAGTGGAGGAAGAAGACTGCAGAAACTATATCCAGATACCAAGCGTCCCTTGACAAAGCTCTTCCATAAATGGACAAGCTTAGCAGCGCGGAATGCATAGTCAAAAAAGAAAAACCAAGGGGCTCCATTTGCTGACCACAACTCTTGATCGCGAGAAAGGTGGACGACGCACAACGAGTGTGAAGAGAAGCCAAGACAAATGGAGAGGAAGGGCCAGGTCCTTTCCATACACCTATAATATGTGTCTCCTGAATAATAAAAAACCTCCATTTTAATCTTGCATATAAATGAAGCAAAATCCACTTTCTGGTAGGTGTATTTAACACCACGGTGAATATCTCCCATTCCTTTAATTCTGTTCCGAATGGAACAAACATAGTTTAGGCTGATGGGCAAAACTCTGAGGGATTAAAAGCAATGCAGCTGCTCCTCTCTGCCCCCCAAAAAAGAGAGTTTTGAGACTTTTGGGGGTGGGGAAGTGGGGGGAGAGAATGCATTTTGTTGTGATGAGTCTGTTATAAAATGACCACCAATCCCAAATTCTCTTCAACGTCTCTTGAAAAGAATCAAGTGAAATAAAAAAAGGCTACACAAAACAGTTTTCTTCAGTCTGTCCTGCAAACCATTGTGCCCCCACCCACTCTTTCGAAGAAAATATTTTTGTTTAAATAACAGTAATTCACAACGCCCTCGTTTAAGTAGTCTTCGGGAAGCAAAACCTCACAACTGCTTTTCCCTTTCCATCCTCCAAGGAGGAGGTTCCTACGAGACTTCTATTATGTTGAATGGAAAGCTCTGGTGGCCCCCAAACCTAACTGTGTTTCCCTGAAAATAAGACCCTGTCTTATATTTTTTTGAAGCCCAAAATCAGCTCTTAGCCTTATTTTCGGGGAGGTCTTATTATTTTGGGGCACATGGAGCAAGAGGGGGCTCCTCTTGCCGTCTTACCTGATTTCCAGCTCTGTCTCCCTAACCCTAACCAGAGGAAATGGCGGGGACTGACTGCACATATGTTTTAATATTTTTGGGGAGGGCTTATTTTTTGGGAGGGGCTTATTTTAGTGCATGCGCTCAAAAGCCCAATTGGGCTTATTATCAGGGGATGTCTTATTTTTGGGGAAACAGGATATATATATATGTGTGTGTGTGTGTGTGTGTGTGTGTATACACACACACACACACACAAACACCCTGTTTCTCTGAAAGTAAGACACAACCGGAAAATAAGCCCTAGCATGATTTTTCAAGATGCTTGGTATATAAGCCCTACCCCAAAAATAAGCCCCAGTTAAGATCATCAGCCAAATGGATGGAATTAGTATGGTATCTCCCCAAAACTAAGACCTAACCAGAAAATAAGCCCTAATGCATCTTTTGGAGCAAAAAAATAATATAAGACCCAGTCTTATTTTTGGGGGCTGCCCTTTTCTCCCCACTGGTGACCACAAGCCATTCTGACTTCCTAAAGAGAATCTTTTTTTGATGACGGAAATATTTGTCTCTGGTTGCTATATCTCTTGCCAGTTAGCCCAGCCAGCTAGCAAAAGAAAAGAGAAAAAAAGAAAAAGAAAAAGAAAAACGCAGGAGGGGAGAAGAAAAGATCTTTCCTGCTTCTCCAGTTGGAGCATATGAAAAATTAAAAACAAAAACCTCAATTTCATTCACTTCCAACCTGCTGAGCGTTTGCTCCCGGGTGTAAAATCCAGCAGCTTGGATGCCAAAGCAGATACTTTGCATTTGTGTTGATCAACCACCCTGGAAACAAAAGGAGAACATCTGGATATGGACTCTGCCTTGGGCTGACTCTGCTTTGTCTGTCTGTTCTTGAGGCTTTCCTGTGGTGCCTCTACTAGTCAATCAAGGAGAAAGTAGTGGTTGGCTAAGGTTTGTTCCTTTTTATCTTTCAACGATGTGTAGAGAGAAGATGCCAACTTTCGTCACCAAAAAAAAAAAAAGCCTGATTCAGATAAATAATTCGTGCCAAATATGAATTCTCTTTCTGACTCAATAACCTACAATATAAACAATATTTTGATATGGTGCAGATCAGGGGTGGGCTGCTGGGGGTTCGCTGGGGTTTGGGAGAACCTCTAGCTAAGATTCTGTGCAGTTCAGAGAACCCCCAAATCCCACTCCTGGCTGGCCCCGCCCACCCTGCCCCGCCCCTCGGCCCGTTTTGGATGCAGGTAAGTGCAGGGCACATGCGGAGGCTCAGGTAGGGCGAAAAACGGGCCTAACGGAAGTTTGAGAAGGCTGGAAATGGGTGTGTTTCCAGCCTCCAGAGGGCCTCCGGAGCCTGGGGAGGCCGTTTTCACCCTCCCGGAGGCTCGAGGAATGCCTTCAGAGCTCGGGGAGGGCAAAAATGCCCCCCACTGCCACTGTGGTGCAGGAGGCAGACTAGGCCACGCCCTCCCAGCAACCGTGCAGAGAACCCCTTGCTAAAATTTTTGAAGCCCAACCCTGGTGCAGATCAGTTAAACACTGATAGGGCACCATCCAGATGAAGCCTGAAAGAGGGGAAACCTCTTTGGATTTCTTGCCTGGAAATCTGTAGTTTTACACTAGAAGGTAGAGAGTATCCACCGGCTCAGTTTTGGCCTTCTAGGAAACGATGGCCTTTTGCATGATAAAACGGACCTCCCGCCCACAAAAATGTCTTCGGTTTGCTTCATTCCAAATTAGAGAAATGTTTGCTTTGACCAAATCCACAAAAGAAAAGCATCATCGTTTGTTGGAACATATATTTCCCCCCCCCCAAGGAAAAGTCCTAAAAAATAAAACGCTTTTGTATTTTCTTGTTCACAGCTCAGCCAACATATGTTCTCGTGCCTGTGTTTTGCGGAGCTGCGATGCTTTGGCCTCTGATCGCTTAAGGACCACCGAGAAGGACTTTCTTTAAAGCAGGGGGAATCCAACCTCAGCAACTTTTAAGACTCGCAGACTGGTTGGACTTCAACTCCCAGAATTCTCCAGGCCAACACGGAAAGCTGGCTAGGGAATGCTGGGAGTTGAAGTCCACAAGTCTTCAAAGTTGCCGAGGTTGGACGCCCCTGCTTTAAAGGATTAAAATGCATTCTTGCATTTGAAATCAGCTGCTGAGGAGGAACTGCGTCGAGCAGTTGCTGAATGCACCTTCGGAAGTGTCCTTCAAATTTTTACAAGAGCTTCGTGTGAATGAATGCAAGCTGACAGACACAACAAAGTGAAGCCCATCTCTCAGTACAGAAAGCAAAATTATTTCTCCTTATGCTTCCTCCTCAACTCTCCATCTTGACATGGGTACAAGAAACAAGACGGCTTAAATAAATAAAAAAGATCTGGAACAAAGACTTCAAAGCAGACATTTTAAAAATCCCTTGGTGAGCTGAGGCAAGTTCCTGGGTTGCGGCTCAATCTGTTGTTGCCTTTTTTTTTGTTTTGTTTTGCTGTGGACATTTACACACGAGAGCAGTTCAAGCTCCCTTGATGTGGGTCTCCATTGGTATCTCTGCAAGATACAGATAGCCCTTTAAGCAGAGCGACAGCTCTCCCTTGAGTAACTACTTGAAGCTGCAAAGGTCAAAGGATACGACAACCACCACCAGAGAAGAGGCCATCAAGCTGAAACAAGGAAAGGAACAAAACATGACTCAAGAATGGCCAATCATGGCAACTTTATGACCTGTGGACTTCCAACTCCCAGAATTCCTTTAGCCAGATATTCTGGGAAGTCAAAATCCACAAGTTGCAAAGTCGCCATCGTTGTGGCCAACGATGGCCACATGGGGGAACTCGTCCTACACAAAGGGAGTTAGCACCTGAGTGAGCTGCACACAAGGCCCTTCCATGCGTGCACGCACAACAAGCTTCCTGTCTCGTCTCCTCAAACAAACTCGTCCTGTCGCACGCCGGGGCGGCCCGTTCTCCGCCAAAGTAGCAGCGTGGGTAGGGGGGGGAAGCATGTGCCCAAGTCCACTTGCCAACGAAAGAGAGATCCTGCAAAGGGACCCTTTGGGTGGAAAACAAGCAACAATGCTCTGTTTGGCAGCCGGCTTGAAGACTCGCCCGGGGGGGTGGGGGTGGGGGGAAAGCCGGCCAACCGCATTCTTGCCGAGAAAAATAACACAACAGTTCCTCCATGCCAGAACAAATAGGCCATTTGTGCCAAGACTAGTTAAAGATCAGCTCCAAAGGAGCTTCCTACGTCTTCCCCGCTCCCGCCAAAGAGAGGCAGGCAAACAAATAAAGAGCCAGGAAAATGCCTAGAAAGATGCATGAATCCAGGAGGGCCAGAGTGGATTTTCCCACAATGCCTCAGTGCCGGAAAAGCCCAATTGCTCCATCACATTCTGGCCCTTCCTTAGTGACGTTCCTGATTCCATCCAGTGCTTAAGAGTTCAGTCGGCACCGTGTTTCTCCTCTCGCTACGCCAGATGTTTCTTTCTTCCGTAAAAATCTGGAGATGATGAATATATATAATTCTCTATATATTCATTCTCTATGTACATATATTGCACGCAATCCTCTGGCCACGTGTGTTCCCGCCTGCTAGTAGAACCGTTTCCGTTTCTCATCTGACTCGGACCGATATTCGCGAGAGCCGATGCCTTTCTGAAGGTTGATGAGGGAATCCTTCATCTGTAAAGCAAAGACACCAGGGGTGAAATCAGTGGTGGGATTCAAATAATTTAACAACCGGTTCTCTGCCTAATGACCAGCTGGGTAGGCGTGGCTCAGTGGACATGTGACCGTGTGGGCATGGCCAACTCAACATCACTTACATCGATGGACGCATCACCTTAGCTGTTACAATGTAACAAGGGTTAACCAGAGAGGCAGTTTCTGTAAGCAGGGCAATAAAGATTAGGCTAGAAACAACACCAGAATGTTTCCTTCCTGCCTTCCTTACAGGATTAGCCCTGTAAAGTGGGAAAAAACAAAATAAGTTTTCTTCCAACAACCGGTTCTCCCTGCTTAGAAAGTTAACAACTGGTTCTCCCGAATAGGTGCGAATTGGCTGAATCCCACCACTGGGTGAAATCCAGCAGGTCCTGACAGGTTCTGGAGAACCTGTAGCAGAAATTTTGAGTAGTGCGGAGAACCGGCAAATACCACCTCTGGCTGGCCCCAAAGTGGCGTGGGAATGGAGACTTTACAATACCCTTCCCCTGGAGTGGGGTGGGAATGGAGATTTTGTGCTATCCTTCCCCTGGAGTGGGGTGGGAATGGAGATTTTATGGTATCCTTCCCCTGGAGTGGGGTGGGAATGGAGATTTTGAAGTATCTTTCCCCTGGAGTGGGATGGGAAAGGAGACTTTGCAGTATCCTTCTAGCAGAAGTGGGGAGGGAATTGGGGATTTTGCAGTATCCTTCCCCTGGAGTGGGGTGGGAATGGAGATTTTGCAGTATCCTTTCCCTGGAGTGGGATGGGAATGGAGATTTTGCAATATCCTTCCCCTGCCATGCCCACCAAGTCATGCCATGCCATGCCCGCCAAGCCACGCCCACAGAACCGGTAGTAAAAAAAAATTTGAATTCCACCACTGCCCACACAACCTGTGGCTTCTCCCCTAGGTTGGAGGTAGCTCTCACCTGATCTAAAAGAACCACTGATGATTTGATGATCTCTCGCCATTTTTGGAGCTCTGTGTCGTGATATTTCTGCTGGGACTCTAATAACTGGGCCCACTCAGTCTGAGATTGGGGTAACCTGTTGAGACCAAGAAGCAGAAGAAAAAAAAATGAAAGCACTCGAAGCCAGCTGGGACCCTTTCTTACGGCCAAAATTTCCCCGGCATTATAAGGCAGAGTATCTTGCATGCCAACTTGAGCTCCTTGAGGAAACCCTGGTGAGTAAATTTGGTTTGGTCTGGTTTGGTTCTGCAATCCCACAAGGCGGAATCCTCCGTCTGCATCCGTTACCTTTCCTGTAAACGAAGCCCCTGCCATGCCGTCAAGGTCTGAGTGGTGTATTCCAGCATCCACAGCTTGTAGAACAGCAACAGATTAAGGATGACCAAAAGCACCAAACTGGGGAAAAATTGAGAGGGGGAAGGAAAAAAAAAAGAATTATGGACAAGCAGCAGCCATTCTTCTTTCCTGTCCCATCATTTGTTTATTTTTTTCTTTCATGGCTGCAATCAAGACCCTCGGAAGGGCTTCCAACAATAAAGCGTCGGCAATTTTGCATCACAAAAACACGGTCCCTGAAAGCATGGCTCAAAAATCATAAAATAAGGAATCAAAAAGCGATCGATGCAGGCGGTGACATGGATGACAGAAAGGGTCTCCGCAAAACAGCTCTGTTGGTCATGGTTGCCTGAAGCCTTACGAGGTAGGAGGGGAACAAATTTTGGGGGAGTGGGCAGGAGTTCTTTCACACCCTTGGCACAGTTACAACAGACTTCACAAGGAGAACGCAAGCTCTGAGGATTCATGCCAAATCTGTGGGAAGGTCGCCATTGCTCTGGCATGGAGAAGGAAGAGGTGCTAATTGTCAGGTTTCGATCTCGTCTCAAATAAATTGCATTTTCAAAACAGATAGTCTTTGACGAAATCTTTCATTTATTTAAGCACGACAACCTGTCCCCGATCATATCGAAACCTGACAGAAAGCCAACACTGACTTCCTGACCCCAAACCTTCCCTTTCCGTTCCCCAATTCTCTGCGTCTCATTGGCCATCTTCCAAATCACTCTCCCATATCTATTACTTCAGCTCCCAGGAATGTCCCCCCTCCCAACCCATCTCCTAGGGGATAATATCTTCAGGGAAAATAAGTAGGTGAAGAGTCAAGCGTCCTCTTGCCAGCGGCCCCCTCTTCTCCTCCTTATGTCAGCACTGGAACGAATGTAGTTTGAAGTGCTGACACTAATCATATCTTCTTCCTAACTTCTCCCTAAAGGTTGCCAGAATTACACTCTGTTGTAGTCTCCGAAATAGGAGTGGGCAACGATGACAAATTTATGACCTGTAGACTTCAATTCCCAGAATTGTTCTGACCTAGGCGTTCCCAAGAGCATGAAGCAGACTCTTTGTCCCGACAAAAATCCCTTCAAGGGTGAATTTTACAGTCACAGACCTTATTTGGCTTGGAGAGCTGCCAGGCCGATATCTTCAAAACTTGGCAAGGAGTCTTGGAGAGTCACAAACCAATTAGGCAAACTAATTGTCTCCTGCAAACTACCCTCCCCTTTTGCTCCTCTTTTATTTCTGCTGGGAGGGGCCATTCACCATCCACCTGTGGCCTTACTCCTGAGTCGACCCTTGTTCTTTAGCTGTTCCCTTCGTCTGGCAACTCTGCGCATGTGCACATTGGGAACAGGCTCCAGCTGTTCCTCTGCCTCACTGATGTCTGACTCCGAAAGCAGCTGATAACTGTCAGACGGCCCTGGCCCCCTCTCTGCCTCCGATGCAGAGCCCTCATCAGAGCCTTCCCCAGACTCCAGGACTGACCCATCTTCCTCTCCAACCTTCTCACTGTCTGAATCTGCTGCCAGCTCCACTGGCCGCTGGCGGGCCACAACAAGAATTCCTGAGCCAGCCATGCTGAGGATTGAAATCCATGGGACATAAAAAATTTGCAGGCCTTTGGGAATGTGCAATAATGGCCATTTTTAGGCCAGCCTTAACATTTTTACTCTAGTGTTTTTCAAACCTGCCAATTTTAAGATGTGGAACCCCGGAATTCCCCAGACAGTATGCCGAAGACATGTGGACTTCAACTTTAAAACTTGTGGACTTCAACCCCTGGAATTCCCCATAGCTGGCTGGGGAATTCTGGGATTTGATGGCCACAAGTTTTAAAGTTGTCAAGTTTTATCTAGGGTTTTAACTTTTGTTTGTGACTGGGTTTGATTGTCTATTTGGGGGTCCTTTTTTTTTTGGGTCTGGTCCATATTTGTCATGGTTCATCACTCAGAGATGTTTTGAGTCTGGCAACGGGGTGTGTGCTTTCTAAAATATAAAGGAAGAAAAAAAATACAGATGGAAAGAGGTAGGCTTGGAACTTTCTTCTTAAGAGCCGCGGTGGTGCAGTGGTTAGAATGCAGTACTGCAGGCTACTTCTGCTAACTGCCGGCTGACTGCCATTTGGCAGTTCGAATCTCACCAGGCTCAATGTTGACTCAGCCTTCCGTCCTTCCGAGGTGAGTAAAATGAGGACCCAGATTGTTGGGGGCAAATATGCTGACTCTGTAAACCACTTAGGTCTGGAAAGCAGTATAAAGCGGTATATAAGTCTAAGTGCTATGTGTTAAAGAAGGGAGGGAGGGCGGGAGGGAAGGAAGGAAGGAAGGAAGGAAGGAAGGAAGGAAGGAAGGAAGGAAGGAAGGAAGGAAGGAAGGAAGGAAGGGCCATGGTAACACAGTGGTTAGAATGAAGTATTGCAGGCTAACTCACTGCTCTCTCCAGCAGTTCGATCCTGACTGGCTCAAGGTTGACTCAGCCTACCATCCTTCCATGGTGGGTAAAATGAGGATCCAGATTGTGGGGGGCAAGAGGCTGACTCTGTAAACCGCTTAGAGAGGGCTATAAAAGCATTGCGAAGCGGTATATAGGTCTACGTGCTAGTGCTATTTGTATTCAGTTTGAAGAACAGAAAAGAACACAAGGGGTAATTTTTTTTTTTAAAAAAAGGGAAAAGCCAAAATAAATAATAAAAGCTTCAGCCCAAGAATGGAGAACCAGCAAATCTAAGTCGAGATCAGGCAGCCAGAATGAAAGACAGCCAGTTTTACCAACCGAGATGCAAAAAGAGAGAAAGAGGCAGAAAAGAAGGACAGCGATAAAAAGGGAAAGAAGCCAATACCTGAAACAAATCCTAATGGGAGCAGGAAAGAGAAAAGATGGGGTGGGGGGGAAGCAAAGATTAGGAGAGGAGAACATCACAAGGGAAGTTCTGAAGGACACGTACAGAGCAGGAAAATCACAGAGGTAGCAGGAAAGCACCCAACTTCGAGAAACCAGCAGAAGCAGGGGTGGGCTTCAAAAATTTTAGCAAGGGGTAGTCTGTCCGGTTGCTGGGTGGGCGTGGCCATGGTGGGTGTGGCCTAGTCGGCCTCCTGCACCACAGCAGAGGGAGCGTTTTTGCCCTCCCCAGGCTTCGGAGGCTTTTCTTGAGCCTCCAGGAGGGCGAAAAGGGCCTCCCCAAGCTCCAGAGGCCCTCTGGAGGCCCGTTTCCGGCCTTCCTGAGCTTCCAGTAGGCCTATTTTCACCCTCCTTGAGACTCTGTGCGTACCCTGCACTTACCTGCATCCAAAACGGGCCATGTGGGGACTCCTGGGAGGGGCGCGGTGGGGTGGGCAGGGCCAGTCAGGAGTGGGATTTGGGGGTTCTCTGAACTGCACAGAATCTCAGCTAGAGGTTCTCCCGAATCCCTATGAACCCCCAGCGGCCCACCTCTGAGCAGAGCCCGAATCAGAGTTAGACCCATCGGCATGACAAATATTAGAAGAACAGGTTGACCAGGACACCTCTCAAGGAGAAGGCAAGCTCTAAGGATTCATGCCATGGAGTATTTGAAAATCTGTGGGAAGGCCACCTCTGCCCTCTGGCATGGAGAGGTGCTAATCCATAGCTTCTTCCTAACTTGCCCCAAAAGGTTGTCAGAACCCCACAAAGGTTGTCAGGATTACATTCTATTGTAGTCTCCGAAACAGGAGTGGGCAACGGTGACAAATGTACGATCTGTGGACTTCACTTCCCAGAATTCCCTGAGCCAGCCATGTTGAGAATTGAAGTCCACGGGACATAAAATTGCCCATTCCTGTTATAGCCTAAGCCCTTGATGGCGAAACTATGGCATGCGTGCCAGAGGTGGCACGCAGTGCCCATTCTGCTGGCACACGCGCCGTCGCTACAGGTCAGATCTCGGTGGCGTTTCTTTCATGAGCTTCTGTTTCCCTGCAAACGACGAAACAGAAGCTCACAAAAGAAAAAGATCTTACCTCTTGCTGCGCTGCCAGTGTTGGGATGCCCCGCCTCCCACCCAGCCAGCTGGTCGTCATGCTTTCTGCTGCGCATGCAAGCATGTCTCTGCATGGGGGCGCACGTCTCCGTGTATGCACACATTTGATTCTTGACGAACGTATCTTTTCTTTTATGTACACCGAGAGCAGATGCACCAAGTCAAATTCCTTGTGTGTCCAATCACACTTGGCCAATAAAGAATTGAATTCTATTCTATTCTATTCTATTCTATTCTATTCTATTCTATTCTATTCTATTCTATTCCATTCCATTCCATTCCATTCCATTCTTCATTCCAATATCTATTCTATTCTATTCTATTCTATTCTATTCTGTTCCATATTCCATATTCTCTTCTCTTCTCTTCTCTTCTCTTCTCTTCTCTTCTCTTCTTCTCTTCTCTTCCTTCTCTTCCCTTCCCTTCCTTCTATTCCTTCCCTTCCCTTCTATTCCATTCCATTCCATTCTTCATTCCAATATCTATTCTGTTCTGTTTTGTTCCTATTCCGTATTCCATATTCCATATTCCATTTCCATCTTTTCTTTTCTTTTCTTTTCTTTTCTTTTCTTTTCTTTTCTTTTCTTTTCTTTTCTTTTCTTTTTCTTCCTTCCCTTCCTTCTATTCTATTCTATTCATGCATGCACACGCATGCACACATTCGTGCACACGTGCGCACCTTTCAGTTTGGGCACACGCACGCGCGCAGTTTGGTCACTTGGTGTCTAAAAGGTTCGCCATCACTGGCCTAAGCCGACCATTTTTATTTCTACATGTTCTCCTCTAATTCCAGCCTCGGCCACCAAACTCAGACCAATCAACTCCCAATTTGCATATAAAAAGCCTGAAACACGAAAGCAATCAAGATAACGATAAAAATGTCTTAAATAGTAAAACAATCAAGGTGTGATGCAGTAGTAGGTTCCTCCCGGTTCAGCCGAGCCAGTAGCAGTCACCGAACCGGTTCTCTTTGTTCGGGAGCTGAGCCCCCCTCCGCTCCCCCGCCCTCCCCCCGCAGTATTCTTACCTTTTATTTGGCCCCACCCCCAATCTATTGCTGCCTCCCGAGTCCCAGCTGATTGGCTAGAAGGAAAAAAACTGTTTAAACTCTTGCCACGGGGCTTCAAAGGGCCGCCATTCAGCTGATCAGTGTTAAAAGGCAGTGTGGTGGTAGACCGGGGCCTCCAAAAATAAATGGGTAGACCGGTGCCTCCAAAAACAAATGGGTAGACTGGTGCCTCCAAAAATAAATGGGTAGACTGGTGCCTCCAAAAACAAATGAGTAGACCAATGCCTCCAAAAACAAATGGGTAGACCGGTGCCTCCAAAAACAAATGGGTAGACTGGTGCCTCCAAAAACAAATGAGTAGACCAATGCCTCCAAAAACAAATGGGTAGACCAGTGCCTCCAAAAATAAATGGGTAGACTGGTGCCTCCAAAAACAAATGAGTAGACCAATGCCTCCAAAAACAAATGGGTAGACCAGTGCCTCCAAAAATAAATGGGTAGACTGGTGCCTCCAAAAATAAATGGGTAGACTGGTGCCTCCAAAAACAAATGAGTAGACTGGTGCCTCCAAAAACAAATGGGTAGACCAGTGCCTCCAAAAGTAAATGGGTAGACCGGTGCCTCCAAAAACAAATGGGTAGACCGGTGCCTCCAAAAACAAATGAGTAGACCGGTGCCTCCAAAAACAAATGAGTAGACCGGTGCCTCCAAAAACAAATGGGTAGACGGTGCCTCCAAAAACAAATGAGTAGACCGGTGCCTCCAAAAACAAATGGGTAGACCGATACAGCTCTGCAAGCAGTTAAAAGCCTGGTAGATCAGTACCTCTCTTAAATCCTAAAGAACTGTCACATGATCATCAAGCCACACCCACAAAATAAACCACGCCCACAGAACCGGTAGTAAAAAAAATTAGACCACCCCTGGTGTGGTGCGAAAATTAAGGTGGTACGCCAAGGTTATGTTGGAGAGCTATTGGCGTGCATGAAGACAATAATGTTTTCAAATGATGCATTGCTGGGACATTTCGTACCAGCAGGTGATGCTGTTGGGAGGCTGGAGTTCGAAAAGACGCTCAATTTGTACCCACGGGGAGTTATATCAATGTTGGCTTATCCATAACTCTGATGATAAGACTTGCCTTTTTGATTGCCTTGACTAGTGAAATGAAACAGAGCAAGACCGGGAAAGAAACACAGCACAAATCCATCGCAGAAAGAAAGGAACAAAGAATGAAGAATGAAGGAGTTACTTACACACAACTAATAACGAGCAGTAATTTGGAGACACTCTGCAAGTGGAAGCTGCTGGAACTTTCTTCAGGGATGTGCCGTGTTTGAGTGGAACCTGAAAAGGAGCAGACGTGGTTGACTGAAGGGACACCTTCAGCGGACGTGCTTTCCCCCATCCTGTCCTCTCAAAGCTAGTTCTGCAAGGAACAACTTCGGGCTGTCTTTCAAGCATGGTGAAGATCTATCGCACGTGACTGTCAAGCTTCGAAGTGTATTCAGGCTGCTTTCACTTTTACTGCTTCTCAGCTTGCCAACGAACTATGGGGGGGAAGGGGAAGGGGAGTTGTAAAAAATCCCCTTGTAGATTGTAAAAATCAAGCAGTCAAGCCGTGAGAACCAAGGTCGAGTCAGCAGGTGGTTGCCAGAGGTTCAAGACATCTTCTCATAACAATATTGGGACACTCCATTGGACAACGTGACCTGCACTAATAGGACAGAGGGAGGATTCTATACTTTAATTATATTGAATTGCCCGAGAATTAGCCAGAGTTGGTTTTGCTTTCATTCCGTGCCGAAATGATGTACTCAATAAAGTTTTGCATTAAGAGATCGGATCGTCTCAACAATGCTAGCTTGTTTGGGGTTCATCAGTTGGAACCTTGACAGTAATTCGGTCAAGGGAGTTTCCTGTCACAAAGGCACCCTGGAATCAGGCCAGGGAACAATGAAAATGTATCTTCAGCTGCCAAAGTGTCCAACAGAAATTAACAGACTTCTCTAGACTTCCTGAGAATCTCTATAGACAATGAACTGGAGGTATCTCAACCTTCCTTTAGTTCAGAGGTCTTCAAACTTAGCAGCTTTAAGACTTGTGGACTTCAACTCCCAGAAGAGTTGAAGTCCACAAGTCTTAAAGCTGCCAAGTTTGAAGACCTCTGCTTTAGATATGTAATCCTCCAAGAAGTATAATTCAGTCTACCACTGAAGATGCCTGTGCTACACTCTTGGTGAAACCATAAAGTTGGATCTCTTCCTGTCCCATCAACCCCACTACGCTTCATCTTTTGGAACTGGTCATGCCATACCTGCCACACGTTTGATTCGACCTACAACCTCCTCATCTGTGGGAGTGGTAACAGGGCTCAGTACTTCCTCCAGATGAGGCACCCTCAAGTGTGTATGGGGCCGTTTCCTCCGTCGCACTATGGATTGTTTGTTCGCCTTCTCTTTGGGTGACTGTCTGTGAAGTTCTGCTAGATACAAACTTTCGGTTTTGGTCAATTCACTCTCTGCCGGGGAGAAGACAAGGGAGGAAGAAGCTTGGTGAAAAGGCAGTGATTTCTTCCCAACCTACATTCTAGGTCAGAGAGGAGGCAATTATTTTGTAGGTGACACAACAATATTCTATTCTATTTCTCTCTCTGGGCACACTGAGAATTTATCTGCTGAACAAAACTCCACATTGGTGATAGGAAGGGCATCCGGCCATTAAAACATTCTGCTAGCTCCATTCAGTTGCTCAGGCTCCACCCCACAAGGTATTATGGGGTCGTTAAAAGAAGATGATGATGACGACAATATTCTAAAAAGCATCAACAATCAGGGTCATCTTAGAGGCATCCTGCAAATTAGTGAAGCCAACTGAACTGAGGTGAACCTAATTTTTGGAAGACTTGGGAGGAAGGAATTGAAGATATAATGAGCACCATTCTGAAGGCTTACAGGTTCTTTGTTTTTCCACCTAAATTAAACAGGCAGATTGTTAACAAATCTCAGCAGTGTAATCCAGGAATATTCCATAGGAGGCAAATCAGAACCTGCAGGCTCGGTGACAAACTCTATTTGCTAAGTCAGCACCAGCATTAGTACTTCAAGAGTCTATTAGGAGCCTTGGTAATACAGTGGTTTAAAGCACCCTGTTATTAACACAGCTGCCTGCAATTACTGCAGGTTCGAATCTTACCAGGCTCAAGGTTGACTCAACCTTCCATCCTTTCTAAGGTAGGTTAAATGAGGACCCAGTTTGTGGGGGCAATAAGCTGACTTTGTATAAATATACAAAAGTATGAAGGCTATTGCTTAACGCATTGTAAGCCTCCCTGAGTCTCCGGAGAAGGGCAGCATATAAATCAAATTAAAAAAAAAAAGAGAGAGAGAGCAGAAGTGATCCATCTGTTCAATGATTCCTTGTTCTGATAGCTCTTATGCATCTCTTTGAAAAAGTGCTGATGTATTAGACCGCAGAGCTAAAATCTTAATATGAATTCTTATTTATCAACCTAGAACTTTTAAGAAGTCTCCAGGTTTATCTTAGAGCAGGAGTGTCCAACCACGGCTGGCTGGGGAATTCTGGGAACTGAAGTCCACCAGTCTTAAAGTTGGCTTAAGTTGGACATCCCTGATCTAGAGATTGACCGTTGACTCCGACAAATCCATCTCCATGCCCTACAAATGAAAAGGTGAAGAAGGTCATTCCATTGGACAGGTTCTGCAGCCTCTCACCTAAGTGGCGAAAATAGTCATCAAGACCGCTCCAGAAGTTCTTCTCAATGAAGGATTTCACTAAACCCCAGGGCTGTTTTCTGTAACGTAGCTCTGTAGAAACCCTGAAATGAAAAATTGTAGAGATGAAAAGAATCTCAAAGACCTTCTAAGCTCACTGTAGCTTCCCTAATAGTTGGCTGTCCAGGTGCTACTAAGAAACAAGCCAGCATCTTCAAAGTATCTAAAGGTAAAGGTTCCCGTTGCACATATGTGCTAGTCGTTCCTGACTCTAGGGGGCGGTGCTCATCTCCGTTTCAAAGCCAAAGAGCCAGCTCTGTCCGAGGACGTCTCCGTGGTCATGTGGCCGGCATGACTCAATGCCAAAGGTGCATGGAACGCTGTTAACTTCCCACCAAAGGGGGTCCCTATTTTTCTATTTCCATTTTTTATGTGCTTTCGAACTGTTAGGTTGGCAGAAGCTGGGACAAGTAATGGGAGCTCACCCCATTACGCGGCACTAGGGATTCAAACCACTGAACTTCTGACCTTTCAATCGACAAGCTCAGCATCTTAGCCACTGAGCCACCACGTCCCTTCAAAGTCTCTACTCGGGTTTAGTCGGCTCAAATCTGTTGCCCTGAAAATTTGCGCACCAGTTTCGTTCTTTCTGCTCTAAATCGTTATCCAAAGTAGCTTCTTCTTCTTTGAAAAATGGATGGCAGAGTTACAGAGATGATATATATAAAAAAAAAATGATCCCGATCTTTACAGAAATGGCTCAGGAGCTACCGTATATACTCGAGTATCAGCCGAGTTTTTCAGCACATTTTTTATGCTGAAAAAAGCCCCCCTTGGCTTATACTCGGGTGAGGGAAAAATGCCTCTTTTCCTGCAACCCGTTTTGGCTCCCAGGGGCCGCAGGGAGGCTTGCTAAGGCCAAAATGGGGTGTGAGGGGGTGCGGTGCCCCCCCTGCACCCCGTTTTGGCTCCCGGGCTGCAGGGAGGCTTGCTAAGGCCAAAATGGGGCATGAGGGGGGTGCCTACCAAGACTCTCTGCAGCCCCCTGGAAGCAAAAACGGGCTGGGGTTGGGGGCTTCAAGGGAGAAAGAAACAAAGAAATCCTCACTGTTTAGGGCTTTTCTTCCTCCTATCAAAGACCTTCTGAGGTTCTTCACAGAAAGGGAGAAAAGAGAAAGGGAGGGAGAAAGAAAGAAAGGAAGAGAGAGAGAGAGAGAAGAAAGAGAAAAAGAAAGAAAGAGAAAAAAAAAAGAAAAAGGAAGGGAGAGAGAGAGAGAGAAATGCAGGTATCTCTTAACAGAGGCTTGAACTTACCTGAAATTAGATCAAGCCCTACATCACTTAACCCAATGTATCAGATTAAATTGTTATTGAATTATTTTTGGTATATATACTACTATTCTCTTGTGTGATTTAGTTATAGTGTAAAACTAGCCTATTATGTCTCAAAATAAAAGGGAGATCAAAAATCCAATTAGTGCCATGTAAATTCCTGGACTCCCCAAAGACCTTTCCCATTGTATTTATTAAACAAATTTATAGAGCTACCCAACTCATAATACAGTGACTTTATCGCTTTCGTGTTCCTTTCATGTAGTTCTCAACTCTATTTCCTCCACCAAAATTCTATTATAAATAATATTACCACACATTACAGCTCTAATTTTGTGTATTTGCGCCAGTAATTTTCAGAAAAAGGTTTATTCCTCTCTTACATAGTTATTTAGAAGTAGCTGGATAAACCAAAGGAAAAAAGGGTAAAGATAAGAATGAGAGGAAATGCAAAAAAATAATAAAATAAAATAAAAAATAAAATAAAATGCACCGTCAGATAGATAGAAAAGGTAAATAAGGCACTGTTTGTAGATTTGTATATATGTGTTTATATAATCATATGTACTTAGTTTGTTAGTGTAATTATGGACTGAAAATGTAAATTTTAAGAGAGAGAAAATTTGTATATTCTCTCTCTTCGTTTTTGTTTGTTAATATTTTTAAATTCAATAAAGTTTGTTTTTAAACTTTAAAAAAAATGTTTTGTTGTATTACATGACTGCAAAAGCCTTTTAGCAGTTCCATGTAACAGGAAATACCCAGTAACAATTTTGAAAGTAGTTGTCGTAGCCAAAAACATTGAACCTACTGAGGCCTCAATTAATGTAATTTTATTGGTATCTATTTTTATTTTGAAATTTACCAGTAGCTCTGCATTTTGCAGAGTCCCTTGGGAGTTGGGCGGCATAGAAATGCGACAAAATAAATAAATAAATGAATAAATTTGCCACCCTAGGCTTATACTCGAGTCAATAAATTTTCCCAGTTTTTTTGTGGTAAATTAGGTGCCTCAGCTTATATTCGGGTCGGCTTATACTCGAGTATATACGGTACTAAAAATTACTTTCAGAAATGTACTGTTCTTAGGTACAGAAACAGACACCAACCCAAGTATTTCAGACAAAAGCCATCAAACATAAACAGCACATGTTAATGTCACAGCCTACGGTTAAGGGAAAACTCACCTGAGTCGACATTTGTTCCTAGCAACACGTGTCAATGTGTAACGATTAATTGTGTAGAAATAATCGTGGTAGGGAACATCATGAGTTAGCACCTCGGCATCTATAACATAGCACTCGCTTTCCTGGCTGGCTTTGTACATTGTCTGGGGAGAGGAGAAAAGCAGCACCATAAATGGTTACAGATTGGTCTACCGAGGAGGACACAAGAGCAATAGCACTTAGACTTATATACCGCTTCACAGTGCTTTGCAGCCCTTCCTAAGCGGTTTACAGAGCCATCATATTGCCCCCAACAATCTGGGTCCTTGTTTCACTGACCTCGGAAGGATGGAAGGCTGAGTCAACCTTGAGCTGGTCAGGATCAAACTCCTGGCAGTGGGCAGAGTTGGCCTGCAATACTGCCTTCTAACCACTGGGAAGGGAAGGGAAGGGAGGGAGGGAGGGAGGAAGGAAAGAAGGAAGGAAGGAAGGAAGGAAGGAAGGAAGGAAGGAAGGGAAGGAGGAAGGAAGGAAGGAAGGAAGGAAGGAAGGAAGGAATAAAGGAAGGAATAAAGGAAGGAAGGAAGGAAGGAAGGAAGGAAGGAAGGAAGGAAGGAAAGTAGCTATACCACTTAGATTTATATACTACTTCACAGTGCTTTGGATCTCTCTCTAAGTGGTTTTACAGAGTCAACCTCTTGCCCCCAACAATCTGGGTCCTCATTTTACTGACCTTGGAAGGACGGAAGGCTGAGTCAACCTTGAGAGATTCTTGAGACCCTGGAGAGATTCGAACTGCCAAATTACAGGCAGCTGGCAGGCAGCAGAAGTAGCCTGCAGTACTGCATTCTAACCACTGCGTGGCTCTTCGCGGGACAACGTCCCTATTTCAAGAAGAACCTCAACTGATAAGCCTTCCAAAGCTAAAACCGAGCTTCTTACCTGAGTTTCAGTAACGGTGGCAGTTTTTGGAGCCAGGGGATTTGTGAGGGTGATGGTGTAGAGAATAACTCTGCTTTGATTGCCAGTTTCTTCCTTCTTCCACGGATGAAAAATAACATCTAAGGAGAAGGGGAAGCGAAGGATGATTTTTTTTTTGCAGGGGGGAGAGGGGGAATGTTGCATCATAGAAGGGAGGAGATAAAGTTTCAGTTCCCAAGGGAAAGAAAAAAAAAATATTCTCCCACGGCCAACTCCAAAGATCAAGTGTGGCCGTTGACCCCACCTTCACTTTAGCTGGTTGATCCAACACAACAGACACAGGACGTGATTGTTTAGCACGAGTCCTTAACTTGGCTCGGTTCCATTTAATTCAAAGGACCACTTCTCGCTCCCTCCTTTTTTTAAAAAAAAATAAAAACGATGCTGAGCCATAGATCAGGGGGGTCTCCAACCTTGGCAACTTGAAGCCTGGAGGACTTTAACTCCCAGAATTCTGGGGAATTCTGGCTGGGGAATTCTGGGAGTTGAAGTCCGCCAGGCTTAAAGTTGCCAAGGTTGGAGACCCCTGCCATAGATAACTGTTCTTGTAAAGACTTGGCTTTCTTCTGAATTCTTTCAGATCCAGAGATTGAAGGGCAGCATTAAGAGGAGGACACAAGGGTAAAAAAAAAATACCTCCCAAATTTGATATGAATCTCAGGAATCTTAAAAAAAAAAAACATCTTAAACAAAGCCTCCACGCTATGCTTTATTTTTATTTATTTTTTTCGAAACCAAGTTTTTTTCTCTCTCTATCTTGTACTACGATTTGCTCCATTTCAGCCAAAGCAACACAAAAAAAGAAAGAAAGAAAGAAAGAAAGAAAGAAAGAAAGAAAGAAAGAAAGAAAGAAAGAAATTTGGAAAGTTCTGAGATATCCGCAAAACAAAGTCAATAAAAAATGGTAAGATGATATTTTAAGCCTCTGGAGATTCTCAAGTCCTCCGGGTCGTGCTTTGTTCCGAAGGTGCTTTTTCAAAAGACGGTTGGACTTCCTTGGTTTTTTTTCCCCTTGAAGATGTTTCGCTACTCATCCAAGGAGCTTCTTCCGAGATGTGTGGAGCTGAAGAAGCTTCTTGGATGAGAAGCGAAATGTCTTCGAGGAAAAACGAAGTCCAGTTGCCCTTTGAAAAAGCACCTTTGCGATGGTCCTTAAGTGTGTTTTGCAGGACTTTAATACAGGGGTGAAATCCAAATTTTTTAACTACCGGTTCTGGGGGTGTGGCGTGGTGGGCATGGTGTGGCTTGGTGGGCGGGGCAGAGGAAGGATACGGCAAAATCTCCATTCCCACCTTATTCCAGGGGAAGGATACTGTAAAATCTCCATTCCCACCCCTCTCCAGGGGAAGGTTACTGCAAAATCCCCATTCCCTCCCCATTCCTGGGGGAAGGATACTGCAAAATCCCCATTCTCTCCCCACTCCAGAGGAAGGATACTTCAAAATCTCCATTCCCTCCCCACTCCAGAGGAAGGATACTTCAAAATCTCCATTCCCACCCCACTCCAGGGGAAGGATACTGCAAAATCCCCATTCACTCTGGGACCAGCCAGAGATGGTATTTGCCGGTTCTCTGAACTTCTCAAAATGTCCGCTACTGGTTCGGGCGAACCTGTCCGAACCTGCTGGATTTCACCCCTGCTTTAATATGTTTAATATGTAATATACAGTATTCAGTATTCAGCCGGTTTGGAAAGATTCGCCCGAACCGGTAGCAGAAATCAACTCTATGCCATCCTATTTGGGCATGTTTTTAAGGCGGAAGGCACGCACGCCAGAAAAACACATGCGAAGAAGTCCGGGCACATACGTGGACAGGGCATGGTGGAGGCGCATGCATAATTACGAACTGGTAGGGAAAGTAAGTGAATAGCACCCCTGGTAATATATAAAGAAAGAAGTCCTGTTGGGATTTTAAAAGATCGTAGATAGCTAAAAGTAATAATCATGTTGATTGTGTCCAGGGACTTAAAGAACCTAAGAGGATTGTAAGCAACTTGCTAAACTTTCTCAGAGGATTGCATTTCTCTGGGGAATCCACCAGAATAAATAGAAAGCTGATTCCATTTCTGAAGCCCAATCTAATTAAATCCTTTTTACAATAAACTGAGCTTCTTGAAGAAATAATCCAATGCTAATTGCGTAAACAGGGAAAATATTTATTCTTGCAGGTGGAAAAAAGGCTATTTTCTACAACTACGGCTTCCCCCCTCAATGTTTATTCAAATAATCTAAATTATTTAAATATTTAAATAATTATTTAAATAATCTAAACATGACCACAATAAAACAGGAAGAACATTTCAAAAATCAATTCACAGAAAATCTTATTCATGCCTCTTTACTTCTATATAACTACCGTATTTTTTGGAGTATAAGACGCACTGGAGTATAAGACGCACCTACCTTTTTTGGTGAGGAAAAGAAGAAAAAGAAATCTCCCTCTGCCTCTGCCCAATTTTGCCTCATTGCAGCAAACATCAAACAGCCTGCTTTACTTTCATTTTCGTTTTAAGCATAGCTTGATTAGCACAAGGGAAAAAAAAAATCTGCTCCAGCAATTTACCTCCTTTCAGCATAAAACAGCTGAAAGTAAATCAGCTGAGAGTCGGGAGGCGATCCAATCAACTTGTGCTAACTAGGCTGCACTGAAGCTGAAAGGAGCTGTTTTTTCTTGCTGTTTGCTTGCAAGGAGGTAACTGCTGCGAGGCAGAGGCCAAAGGGTGGGGGCCAGTGGGCCTTATTTGGTGTATAAGACGCACCTAAATTTTCACCCCCTTTTAGGGGGGAAAAAGGTACGTCTTATACTCCGAAAAATACAGTATATTAGAAGTACTGTCTAATCTATAATATTGTCAAAGAAGAGAACGAAGCAATGCAGGAAGTTCAGAATGAAGTGAGATCTCATTGTTGCTTGAGCCAGGGATTTAAAATTTTTAAAAAATGAATTTTAGGAGGGTTCGGGTCCCCCCCCCATCACATTCCCAATCTAAATTTTTGGAACATAAATCTTTGAAACTGTTGTATTTTGGAGGTTAAAAAGGTTTATACATTGGAGAAGTCCTGGTCCATTCACACAACATGAAAAGCTTTGCAAATAAGACAGAAAAACACACGGCACCATATTTGTATCTACAATGTGTTGGAAATCCAACATGGGTGAGATGAAGCCAGCTGAAAGACAAGGCTGCTTACAGTATACAGACAGTCCTCAATTTATGACCACAATTGAACCCAAAACTTCTGGAGCTAAGTGAGTTTTGCCCCGTTTTACGACCTTTTTTTTTTGCCACATTTGTTAAGTGAACCAGTGGAGTTGTTAAATTAGTAACATGGTTGTTAAGTGAAGCTGGTTTCCCCATGGACTTTGCTCGTCAGAAGGTCGCAAAAGGGGGTCATGTGACCTTGGGACACTGCGATTGTCATAAATATGAGTCAGTTGTCAAGCGTCCTAATGTTGATCATGTGACTATGGGAATGCTGCAACGGTCGTAAGTGTGAAAAATGGTCATTAAGTCACTTTTTTTCAGTGCTGTTGTAACAGTCACTAAAAAAAAATGGTTGTAAATTGTGGTCTACCTGTTTGTGCTGATGAGGGCTTACCAGAAAACCGTCGTTGCTCCATGAAATCCCTTAAGAACTGAGAGTTTGTGAAGAGCAGATCATAGAGTTTATCCACGCTAAAGTTGAAGACTTCATTCATGTATTGTCGTCCATTCAGATCATCATAAAAGGCCTGGACCTCCCCTGAAGGACAAAGTGGAAAGCTAACAGGTCAGACTCCTAGGAGACGTATCTTGACAAAGCAATAAGCAGAGGATTTTAACTCCCTATAAAAAAAAATAACACTGATGCTCCAATACTGGAAACAGATTTCGGTCCAAACAGCTAAGCTCAACTCTGTTCAAAAAGTGAACCATCAATTCAAAAGCTTTAGAGGTATTCAGGACAACATCATCATCATCGTATTTTAACGACCCCGTAATCCCTTGCGGGGTAGAGTCTGGGTAACTGAATGGAGCTGAGTGTTTACTGGCTGGATGCCCTTCCTGTCGCCAATGCAGAGTGATATTCAGCAGATATATACTCATCGTGCCCAGAGAGAGAAATATCTGCCTCTACCTAGGATCAAACTCACAACCTCCTGATTGTGAGGCGAGAGCTCCACTTCTAGGCCACCGCACCACTCTGTCTTCAGGACAATAGGACCCACCAAAAATGCATCATTATGAACACTACCATTCGAGATGCTTCTTCACAACTCAACTTTCTTTCAATAATATCAAACTTTTCTCTAGCTTAATTCTTACTATGGAATTTGCCACAAGAATATTCATGGAGCCTGTAACCATTAACCTAAAAATACAGATTGCCTAAGTAATTCAACACATAAATAGTAATCCAAAAGATTTCCTGTTTCTCAGAAAAAAATAAGATGAGAATACAGAGATGCTGAATATAAAGTGACAGGGAACTCTTTAACTTGGAAACCCAAGTCAACCCAAGAGCCTTGGTAGTACAGGGGTTTAAGGCACCCTGTTATTAAGCTGGTTATTAAGACCAGCTGCCTGCAATTACTGCAGGTTTGAATCTCACCAAGGCTCAAGGTTGACTCAGCCTTCCATCCTTTCTAAATTGAGGACCCAGTTGTGGGGGCAATAAGCTGACTTTGTATACATATACAAAAAGGATGAAGGCTATTGCTGAGCACATTGTAAGCCACCCTGAGTCTTCGGAGAAGGGCGGCATATAAATCAAATTAAAAAAAAAAAACTGGGTCAACTATGGTATCGAAAAAGGGTAAGACACAGAAAGACAATAAACCCTAACCCCACCATGACACCTGTGGATGCCAGCCAAGCACCTTCATCATGAGTCTCGGAGGAGTCACTGAGTTCAGTTGGAATGTCCTCATTGTCATTGAAATCCAGGGAAGGAGAATTCACAGGGGCGATGATGTCAATCTTGTCTCCAATGAGGTTTGCAATTGTCATCTCCTTCTCAGCCAGTGTGTCCAGAACCTCTTCTTCTTCAGGAACTACCCCTTCATACTAGAAGGATATGAAGAAGAACATCAATCATTGTTACCTTGGGAAAGCTGGAGGGAAGGGGAAGAGGAGGAACAGGGAGAGGATGCTCCCATGTAACGCCTCTCCTGCGCGAGCTGCACTGGCTCCCGGTGGTCTTCTATCTGTTTTATTTTATGGCTGTTCACCGCCCTGAATCCTTCGGGAGTAGGGCGGTATACAAATTTAATAAAATGAAATGAAGAGGAGGAGGAGGAGGAGGGAGAGGAAGAGAAGGAAGAGGAAGAAAAGGAAGGAGGAGGAAGAGGAGGAGGAGGAAGGGGAAGGAGGCAGAGGAGGAGGAGGCAGAGGAGGAGGAGGAAGAGGAGGAGGAGGAAGGGGAAGGAGGCAGAGGAGGAGGAAGGGGAAGGAGGAGGAGGAGGAGAAGAAGAAGAAGAGGAAGAGGAAGAAGAAGAAGAAGAAGAAGAAGAAGAAGAAGAAGAAGAAGAAGAAGAAGAAGAAGAAGAAGAAGAAGAAGAAGAACAACAACAACAACAACAACAACAACAACAACAACAACAACAACAACAACTTAGTAGCAGTTCTTTCTCCAGTACTAAAACTGTGGCCCAGCTTCCTTTGATGTGAGCATTTAGAAACCAAAACCCAAATTTAAAATCCATAACTGGTAGACTCCATGAATAGCGGGCACTTCTCTTCCAGGTGCAAATTAGAGATTTAAAAAATCGAAAGGAAGTAATACCCACCGGGATCGGAGCTTCATTGTTTGTTGTAGGAGTCAACGTGCTGCTGTTAGTAAGAGACTTCTTGGGAAGCTGAGGGCTCACTTCAGCTTTGACCTCCGTGCTACTTTTGGAGGAGCTGTCGTTGACTTCGTTTTCTTCCACAGGGATCTCCTCACAGTAACTAAAAAAAAAAAAAGCAAAATCCAGGTGAATTGGATCAATTCCATAATTAGTCTTCTTATCAAGCATTGAAGAGCAAACCATGTGGAATAAAATCGTTCAGCTCACAGTGCAGCTGAGACCACCAAAGAGAGAGTCCAGAGAAGCTTCAATAATTGTCTTTACTTTGCTTTTGCTTTTGCTTTTTTAATTTATATGCCGCCCTTCTCCGGAGACTCAGGGCGGCTTACAATGCGTTAAGCAATAGCCTTCATACTTTTGTATATTTATACAGTCAGCTTACTGCCCCCACAATCTGGGTCCTCATTTCACCTACCTTTGAAAGGATGGAAAGCTGAGTCAACCTTGAGCCTGGTGAGATTCGAACTTGCAGTAATTGCAAGCAGCAGATGTTAATCTGTTCATAACAGTGCTTTAGTCCACTGTACTACAGGCTCTTGATTTTGACACACCTATTTTCTAGCCAAATTCCATTCCAGAACATCTACGTACTTTCTCACATCTCTCATGGGCTGAAAGCAGGGGTGGGCTTCAAAAATTTTAGCAAGGGGTTCTCTGCCCAGTTGTTGGATGGGCGTGGACATGGTGGACGTGGCTAGTTGGCCTCTTGCACCATGGGGGGGGGTGTTTTTGCCCTCCCTGGGCTCCGGAGACTTTCCTCTAGCCTCCGGGAGGACGAAAACAGCCTCCCACGCTCCAGAGGCCCTCTGGAGGCTGGAAATGGGCCTGTTTCCGGCCTTCCCAAACTTCTGGTAGGCACGTTTTTCGCCCTATCCGAGCCTCCGCGCACACCCTGCACTTATCTGTATCTAAAACGGGCCACGTCGGGAGGGGCAGGGTGGGCGGGGCCAGCCAGGAGTGGGATTTGGGGGGGGTCCTCCGAACTGCACAGAATCTTATCTAGAGGTTCTCCTGAACTCCTGTGAACCCCCAGCAGCTCACCCCTGGCTTCAAGTATGTTAGAGATGGGATGAACAATGAGAAGGTCTTCTGAAATTCTGGCTGGGGAATTCTGGGAGTTGGAAGTCCGCTCAGCTTAAAAGTTACAAAGATTGAGTAACACCGCACTGGCCTACTGAGGATATCCCTGATTTTGTGAGCATTAATGATTGCCGTTTTCCAGTCTTGTTTTCATGGCTTGCTTTAGGCAGAAGAGCTTACCCCATGGTGTTGAAATCTTCATCAGGGGGAACGTAATCTTCATCATCGCTCGTCAACCCCAGCTCATTGCCGTAACACTGATGTACAAAATGCCAAAGCTCCTTTGGACACAAGGGCTGGACAGGAACAAAGCAATGAATCAGTATCTCCCATGGAAAGCAACGGACGACATCCCTGATACTTTGCTCGTAAGAGTTTTAAGAACATGGCTACCCAAACGTCTATGGAGCTTCTCGATTATCCAGGTCATGGTTGTCCCAAAGGTGCTTTTTCAAGAGGCAACTGGACTTTCTGGTTTTTCTTTGAAGACGTCCAGTTGCCTCTGGAAAAAGCACCTTTTGGACAATCATGATCCGGATGAACGAGAAGCTCCATAGACATTGAGCTATGCAACAGAGCTGAAGAAGCTTCTTGGATGAGAAGCGAAATGTCTTTCAAAGAAAAACCAGGAAGTCTAGTTGCCTCTGGAAAAAGCACCTTTGGGACAGGGCTACCCAAATGGATGTTGTGAAGTGTGCAGATTTGCAAAACAAGAAAAAAAAAATATGTTCACAGCATGGCAACATGACATTGGAAACCTCGTCCTCAACCCACTCTCTTGCAGGAAGCTACCCACAATGGATCTGCAGTTTCAGCTCTTCCTCGTCCTTCGCCTTTTGTTTTTAAATGCATATGATAATTATCCAGGAACAAAAAAACAATTTGAATTGCAGCTGTGTTGTGTGTATGTGCGTGTATGTGTTTGTTGATTCATCCCTGGACGGCATTAAACTGACTGCAAGGCTTGCATTGTTGCAGAGGATGATGCCCTTTTCGAAAATTAGCAGGTGAAAAAGATTAAACTCATCGGAAGGATGGATATTGAACCCAAATTGAGAAGCTTATTGGGGTGAAATCATCAGCAATTGTAGGAGTTCTCAGATCACTTCGAAGAAGCAAGAAGAGAGGTGAAAACAGAAGACTGGAAGAGACAAAGTAGGTTTCCTCCACAAACTTGGACGTGTCAGTCTGAATCCTGCACATTTTATTTATTTTATTTTGTTTATTTCATTTATTTGTCAAACACTTATAAGATTACAGATATAAGTATAAACATGATTATGAATACAGGATAAGGATACGAATAAATGGGGACAGTAGGACATGGACGATAGGCATAAAATTTTTTATTTTTATTTTATTATTCATTATTTCTATGCCACCCACTCTCCGAGGACTCTGGGCGGTTTACCCCAAAGACAGTATACTAAATAGCATATTGCCCCCAACAATCTGGGTCCTCATTTTACCCACCTCGGAAGGATGGAAGGCTGAGTCAACCTTGAGCTGGTGAGATTTGATCCGCTGATCTGCTGAACTAGAGTCAGCCGAAGTAGCTGCAGTACTGCACCCTAACCACTGTGCCACCTTGGCTCTAGTGCGTTTATGCACACCCCTTACAGACCTCTTAGGAATGGGGTGAGGTCAACAGTAGACAGTCTACGGTTAAAGTTTTGGGGGTTTGGGGAAGAGACCACAGAGTCAGGTAGTGCATTCCAGGCGTTGACCCCTCTGTTGCTAAAGTCGTATTTTCTACAATTTAGTTTGGAGTGGTTAACCTTAAATTTGTATCTATTGTTTGCTCTATTGTTGTGATTGAAGCTGAAGTAGTCATTGACAAGTAGGACATTGTAGCAGATGATTTTATGTACTATGCTTAGGACAGAGTGAAGACGGCGAAGTTCTAAGTTGTCTAAGCCCAAAATTTCAAGCCTGGTGACATAAGGTATTTTATTGCGAGCAGAGGAGTGGAGGACTCTTCTCATGAAATATCTCTGGATTTGCTCAATTGTATTAATGTCCGGTATGCAGTGTGGGTTCCAGGCAGATGAGCTGTATTCAAGACTTGGTCTAGCAAAGGTTTTGTATGCCCTAGTTTGCAGTACAATATTACCAGAGAAGAAGCTACGCAAGATTAAAATTAAAACAATTAAAGATTAAAATTCGCAAGATTTTACGCTGGAATTTTTCCAGCCGCTGTTGGAATCTGGTAACAAGCTTGTTTCCTGGTGTCAAATGGCCCCGGGGGGATAATACTGAAAGGTCAAGCCTAGTCATTAGCCCTTTAGCCAGAAAAAAACTAAGAAGAAGAACTAGTTTACATAACCTACAGACAAGGGCAGATAGTCTTAGTTCGACTGCCATCTGGAATTTTGAGAACATTTTAGAACAGGAGTGTCCAACCTTGGCAACTTTAAGACTTGTGGACTTCAACTCCCAGAATTCCCCATGCTGGCTGGGGAATTCTGGAAATTGAAGTCCATAAGTCTTAAAGTTGTCAAGGTTGGACACCCCTGACTTAGCCAAGAAGAGGTGCCATTTTGAGCAATCTCTAAGTGGAGGAGAAAGAAATTTCTGGAGGGGTTCACTGGGCTTCTCTTGCCCTAGAACTGTGATGGCAAACCTATGGCACGCATGCCCAAAGTGGCACGCGGAGCCATGTCGCCTGGCACGTGCAGCATCGCCTATTCTTCTTCTGGGTTTCTGGCGTGCATGCACGCGCAACAACCAGCTGGCCTTTTTGCATGCGGCAGTGCAGGAAACTAGAAGAGCTGGTCTTCCGTTTTCCTGCGTGAGCATGCGCGCCGGCCAGCTGATTATCGTGTGCACATGGTTGCAGCCCAGATGCACGTGCTCTCCCTTTTCAGCACCGAGTGCCCTGGAACCTTTAAGCCACAGCATCTAGGATATCCATATTGGACATCCCTGTGTTAGAGGCACTCTCTGAAAATGGTGACCATGAATCAACAGGCCAATCAGAGACCTTTGTCAGAAGGCCAATATGTCCTCTGCCACCATCTTTGGCCTTCCAAGAAAGCTTCTACTATTCTAGGGAGTCCCAAAGGTGTTTTCAAAAAGGCAACTACAGATGCATACATTGGGGGGAAACAAAACAACCACTACACAAACACATGGCGCAACACAGGAGAACCAATGCGTGAGGACACAATTCAGCCGTCCATCTGAACCTGAAAGAAAAGGGCTTCTCCGCAAGAAAGTCCAGGCGAGCCTGAATCCACGAGATGGGCAGCAAATAGACAAATTGATAAATAAGATAAATCACTATTTCCTACCTTTTCAAGGAGGGCATTCTGCCAGAGGCGAAACATCATCATGTACGTCCTATCCCGGGCACCAAAGGAAGTGAAAAAGTGCTGGGAAAAGCAAATAAATAAATAAATAAAAATTGAAAGGTGAGATAAATCAAGAATTATGCGTTAAAAGATTGCATTGAAATACATTAGCAAAGAGAAAGAGATTCAGTGCACATGATATGGAGGTTGAAAACTCTATTGGAAGTTGAAAACTCTACCATAGCAAAGAAATTAGTGGTTTATAGTGCGGTGGCCTAGAGGTGGAGGTCTTACCTCACAATAAGAAGGCTGTGAGTTCGATCCTAGGTAGAGGAAGATATTTCTCTCTCTGGGCATACTGAGAATATATCTCCTGAACAAAACTCTGCATGGGCAACGTGAAGGATATCCAGCCATTAAAACATTCTACCCAGACATTCAGTTGCCCAGACTTCACCCCGCAAGGGATTATGGGGTCATTAGATGAAAATAAAAAAGATGTTGAGACTCTAGAAAGAGTGCAGAGAAGACCAACCAAGATGATTAGGGGACTAGAGGTTAAAACATACGATGAACGGTTGCAGGAACTGGGCATGGCTAGTCTAGTGAAGAGAAGGACCAAGGGACACATGATAGCAGTCTTCCAATATTTGGGGGGCTCCCACAGAGAGGAGGGGGTCAAACTGTTTTCCAAAGCACCTGAAGGCCAGACAAGGAATAATGGATGGAAACTGACCAAGGAGAGATTCAATCTGGAAATAAGGAGGAATTTTCTGACAGTGAGAACAATCAACCAGTGGAACAGAAGTTGCCTTCAGAAGTTGTGGAAGCTTCGCCACTTGAGCCTTTCAAGAAGAGACTGGACTGCCATCTGTCAAAAATGGTGTAGGGTCTCCTGCTTGGACGGGGGGTTGGACTAGATTACCTACAAGGTCCCTTCCAACTCTGTTAATCTGCAAAATGATAATACTGGGCCTCTTTATTGCATTATGTGCTTTAATTCATTTTCTAGCAGCTGGTTGGTCAGAAAAAAAAACAAAACCTTGTTCCAATGTGGTTTAAAGTTAAACTACTTTTCCCAGTTACCCAGCCAATGACAATGCCATGTTCGCACCCAAATTATTTTAACCGTCCCCTGGCCATTCTTACTCGGAGCTTACAGGAAGGAGATTTCCCAACCAAAGAAACAAGCTCAATGCTCTAAATTTCCAAAGCAAGATGGGACGAAAAGGTGGAAGGTAGACAAATCTTCCATCAATAGATGGGAGATCGATCAATGTGGTGGACAACACCTTCCCACATCATCTGCTCAGAAATAAAACAACACAGACTTGTAGCCTGCTTCTTTCGTTCAAAGAGGGATTAGGATCTAGATCAGGGGTGTCAAACTCAAGGCCTGCGGGCCAGATCCAGCCCGTGATATGGTTAGAACTGGACCGCGGAGCTGTCCTGGTGTTCTGTCTTCAGCTACGGACCCCAAAGAATGCAGCACACACACAAAGTCCGTTCAAACCTTAGTTTACTAAATAAACCAGTCTTTTACAACAACGGCTGTTAATTAATTGCATTAACAGCCGCCAAGAATTCAAAGAATAATAACTGAAAGCTTACTATGGTTGGCAGAATGCCCAGAAGCAATTTGCAGGAAGATGATAAGATAAGCAAGACAAGACATGAAGGTATGTGAACGAAGTTGTTCCCTGCAAATTGCTTCAGTTGGCGTTCCTCTTTAAATAGATTAAGGGAGTGGCCAATTAGCCCCAAGCCTTACTCTCGAGGAGATCTCCTCCTGAGGAACCACTCCTGCCTTTTGGCAGCTCTGCGCGCCCGTGCATTGAGAAGAGGCTCCTCCTCTTCTTCCTTTTCACTTATGGGAGCTTCTGGAGGTTTTGAAGGCCCTGGCTGAATCCCCGCCTCTGGCACCACATCTTCTCCAGCCTCCTCATTGTCCAACTTGAGTGCCAGCTGCACAGGCTGCTGACGCAGCACCACACCAGCCTCCTCGCTGTCGGAATCAGCTACTAGCTGCACAGGCCGCTGTCGGGCCACAATACCTGGAAACAGTGAAGGACCAACCCGCAGCGCCTCGGCCCGGCCCAGGCTGACTGGGCACTGATCTACAACCTGGCAGTGGCCATCAAGGCCTGAACATGGTCAGCCTTAGATCCGTGAGCCGGCCTGGAGCCAGCCTTGTCTGGCCCATTACAGGTGCCCCTCGACGTGAGCGATGTTGAGTAGGCCAAGTTGAGTTGTCCATGCCCGCCCAGTCATGGGACCACCCAGCCACACCCACCTGGCCCTTTGAGGAAATGGTGAAATCTAAAATTTGTTACTACCGGTTCTGTGGGCGTGGCTTGGTGGGGGGGTGGGTAATGTGACTGGGTGGGCGTGGCCAATTTTTTTTTAACTTTTAAAACCATTTTTTTTACAACCTCTTCGGCGAAGAGATTGTAAAAAAATGCTTTTAAAAGCCTCTGACGATCCCAGCCGAGTTGCCTGATCGGCAGAGACTTTTTTTTCTTTTAAATGCCTCTGATGATCAGGCAACTCAGATTGGGTCGTCAGAGGCATTTAAAAGAAAAAAAAGGTTTTTTTCTTTTAAAAGCCTTTGATGATCCCAGGTGAGCCGTGCAATCATCAGAGGCTTTCTTTTTTTTACTTTTAAAAGCATTTTTTCGGCCGAAGAGGTTGGGGGAGGGGGCAGGGATTTTTGCTACCGGTTCTCCGAACCACCCGCCTCCATCGCTACCGGATTGGGCGATCCCGTCCGAACCGGGAGCATTTCACCCCTGCTTTGAGGGCGACCATAATGCTGATCCAGCCCTCAATGAAATTGAGTTTGACACCCCTGATCTAGATGATGTAAAGGCTGTGGGAATAAAAGATAAGCAGGAACTCTTCAGGGTGGAGACATGTTTTGCTGGCCATGCCCAGAAGGTACCCTGATTTTGCCAACAGTAAACAAGTTTTGCAAGGTTTTGCTTTGTCCCTAACCTTTGGGGGAAAAAAAAAACTTGTTTAACTGGTGGAAGCAATGAGACCAGAGAAGGTCAGAAGGTCCTACTACAGGAGCTCTAAGGCATTTTCAAGCTGTTTTTTAAAAAACCATGCATGTTTCTAGACAAACTGATCTTTGAGTATGTTGGTCTACTTGACTGTGAGAATTTAACGCAGCTTCGGTCTTGTCCAAGATTCCCTGTTTTCCCCTCAACCCCCAGATTTGTCCTTCAGGGAAGTCTTCTGCTCTTGCCGGTGTCCAATGGGGAAGATTGTAAGAACATACCTTTTCAGTGTCTGTGCAAACTTGGATAGCATTAGGAATGAGCCGTGCAGTTTTCTCCTTGGTCATGGTGCAGATGTCCTTCAAACGGACGGTCAACTATACCAACAGATCAATGGTCAGAAGCATCATGGAGGGTGAAATGAGAAGAGAAGAGAAGAGAAGAGAAGAGAAGAGAGAAGAGAAGAGAAGAGAAGAGAAGAGTAGAGTAGAGTAGAATAGAATAGAATAGAATAGAATAGAATGAAATTAGGAAAGAGTAGAGTAGAGTAGAATAGAGTAGAGTAGAACAGAACAGAATAGAATGAAATTAGGAAAGAGTAGAGTAGAGTAGAGTAGAGTAGAGTAGAGTAGAGTAGAGTAGAGTAGAATAGAATAGAATAGAATAAGAGTAGAGTATAGTAAATGGAATAGAATAGAATAGAATAGAATAGAATAGAATAGAATAGAACAGAATAGAATAGAATTAGGAAAGAGTAGAATAGAGTAGAGTAGAGTAGAGTAGAGTAGAGTAGAGTAGAGTAGAGTAGAGTAGAGAAGAGAAGAGAAGAGAAGAGAAGAGAAGAGAAGAGAATTATTTATTAGCCAAGTATGATTGGACACACAAGGAATTTGTCTTTGGTGCATAAGCTCTCATTGTAGATAAAAGCTATAAGTGATAAATCATGATCACAGTCATCATAAAAATGCATTCATCATAAATCATAAGATACCAACACTTAATGATAGGAATCAACATATATCATACTAGGAAACTAAATAAAACAATATAAACCATAAAGATACAAGCAACAAATTTACAAAGGGAGCAAATGCAAACTTTCAGGGTTGACCCATGGCAGGGGAAGTTAATGAGGTGGGATGGGGTGGGGTGGACTGGAGAAGACAACTCACCAAGGTTTCCCAGCGGAAGATGTTGCTGTAGAAACAGATCCAGTTTTCAGAGAGGTAGAGTCGACCTTGCAAGAGAATATCTCTTTGAAGGGCACAGGAGTAATCTGTAGGAAAAGGCAGAGGGAGTGACCATGAATGATGTAGCCAAAAGGATATAAATATTTATCAAGAACCTAAATAGAACTGGGTGCTGCTATACGCAGTTGAAAGTAAACAGAGACATGTTGGGTTGCTTGCAGTCTAAACAACGACAGCAGAAAAACAAATTTGGGAAGGTGGACGAGGAAGATAAACAAAAGGGAAGGAAAAAGAAGTTTTTTGGGCAGCAGGAATTATTTAAGCGTCTTTCAAACAGGTGCCTGTTACAAAGGACAGACTAGAGATGAGATAAAGGTAAAGGTTCCCCTCGCACATATGTGCTAGTCGTTCCTGACTCTAGGGGGCGCTGCTCATCTCCGTTTCAAAGCCGAAGAGCCAGCGCTGTCCGAAGACGTCTTCGTGGTCATGTGGCCGGCATGACTCAATGCCAAAGGCACATAGAACGCTGGGAAGTGGGAAGTGGTCCCTATTTTTCTACTTGCACTTTTTACATGCTTTCGAACTGCTAGGTTGGCAGAAGCTGGAACAAGTCACAGGAGCTCACCCCCTTATGCGGCACTAGGGATTCGAACCACTGAACTGCCAACCTTTCGATCGACAAGCTCAGTGTCTGAGGCACTGAGCCACCGCGTCCCTTCTTAAAACGAATTGGTACTATGTAAAAGTATGTTGAAAATCTGACCATGGATTCCGGTCTTCTCTCTCCTTGGTTAAAACATTGATTGAATCAAAATTATTTTCAGCAAAGGTTCCACCAGAGTAGTAAGTCATAGGATTCCCCATTCCTCCCCTTGTTAAGTTATGTTTTCATGCTTCCTATCGTATTCAGGGAGAGCCAATTTGGGATGGGTTAAAAGCATCAGGCTAGAAACCGGGCGACTGTGAGTTCTAGTCCTAGTCCTGCCTTGGGCACAAGCCTGCTGGATGACCTTGGGCCAGTCCCTTTCCCTCAGTCCTAGAAAAAAGGCAATGACAAACCACTTCTGAAAAAATATTGTCCTAAGCCCGTGATGGCGAACCTATGGCACGCGTGCCACAGGTGGCACGCGGAGTCATGTTGCCTGGCATGCCAGTTTAGCTCTGTCAGCTGATTTTTGGCCTTTTTGGGCTCACCAGAAGAGGGCCTGGGAGGGGGGAAGGCCCGTTTTTCTTTCTCCCTGGCTCCAGATCCTCTCTATGCAATGGCCCGTTTCTCAACTTCTGGCTTCCGAGGGGATGGGGAAGGCTGTTTTCGCCCTCCCCAGATGCATAGAAAGGATCTGGAGTCAGGTGAGAAAGAAAAATGGGCCTACCGGGCCAACGCGTGCCAGGAGTGGTTGGGGGGAAGGGGGATCGAGCTCGCATGTGCGTGGCGGGTCACATAGAATTATGGGTGTGGGCACATACATGGGCAAACCTCCCCCACCCCACCCCTTCTTGGCACGCGATGGCAAAAAGGTTAGCCATCACTGTCCTAAGCCTTTCCTCTCAAATAATAACGTATTGCTATTAAGTAAGAAGATTGTAAAGTGGGGAAATCTCTCGATAATCCATAAGTAAAGGCTACTTCCTCTTCCTGGGTCAAAGGTTGTTCCAAACCAGTTCTCGAAACAGATGGGTGACAAGGTTGGATGGAACCAAACAACTCCTGGCACCAGCCTCGTTTGTTGTTTTTAATCTACATTAATTAGTTTAGTTTACTTTACTTTATTGTCATTGCACCACGTACGACGAAATTAAATTCCATCTTCCGTGGACATGATAACTATAAAAATAAAACCCAGACAAACATCCTTCACATTCTATGCAATTGAATTGAAAACCCCTGATGTTGCATTAATATTGCACTATACCGTAGAATTCAATATTTATTTATTTATTTATTTATTTATTTATTTATTTATTTATTTATTTATTCATTCAATTTATATCCCGCCCTTCTCCTAGTGGACTCAGGGCGGGATATAATATAGTTATCGCCCTGGGATAGAAGCTGCTTTTCAGCCTATTTGTCCTTGTTTGTATTATCCTGTACCGTCTGCCAGATGGTAATAGTTCAAAAAAAAAAAATGGTGCCCAGGATGAGATGGATCCTTAAGAAAGTTTTGAACTTTCTTAAGGCAGCGGGAGCTATAAAGCTCTTGCAAAGAGGGGAGAGGGCAACCAACGATCCTCTGGGCAATGACGTTGACCCTCTGGACTCCTGTCCTACCTGCCACCGTGCAATTGGCAAACCATACACAGGTGCAGTAGGTTAAAATACTCTCTATGGTGCAGCGGTAGAAGATCATCAGCAGTTTTCCATTCAGTTGTTGTTTCCTGAGAAGCCTCAAGTAATATAATCTCTGCTGGGCCCTTTTGACCAGTGCTGCAATGTGAGCGTCCCAGGTCAGCTCCTCTTTTAGGATAACACCCAGAAACTTAAAACTGCCCACTTGCTCCACTCGGTCTCCATTGATAAGCAAGGGCTGGATGTCTGATCTATTCCTTCTGTAGTCCACTATAAGCTCCTTGGTCTTATTGGTGCTAAGGACCAAGTTATTGTCTCCACACCACGAAAGCATAATTTGATTCAAGCTACACAATTCATTCAAGCTAAAAGCCACGATTTTCACACTCGTGCACTCATAACGTCTAAAAACAAGAAGCGTCTGAGGCTTAATCTAGAATGGCCACTGCCGTTGGAAGGAGAAGGGAGACAAGATCTGGCTGCAGAAATCCAGGTAACATTAACGGTTGTCAAAGAGATACAGAAAACTCATTCTTTGCTGGCATCCAATCCTGGTGTAGATTTCGGCAGCCAAGATATTACACCAGTTAAGATCCACTAAAGAATAAAATCTTTGCTGTTAATTGTTAACCGATTTAAATGGAGCTTTATCAAGTTTCGCCCTTCACATAGTCATAGATTTAAAAAAAAAAAAAAAAAACACTACTTCTGTTCACTTGGAAAGGGGATATGGCCCGTTTTACTACTTGAGTTTGCTAATTAGTTATCCTTAACGGTCATTAAGTTGGCTCACATAAAGCTTTCTTTTCCTTGCCACTGGAAGTCAAGTTCCTCCTTCAATTACGAATCTAGTAAACCCCCCTTTAAAAAGTCACAGAAATGCAATATTGATTCAGACTTCGAGCTAATTAGGCGATAACGATTGTTACAGGGCAAGAGGCTCAAATCTCTGACTTTTAACACTTTGGAGGCCAAATTTTCCTTGAATATCAAAATGGAATTTTTTTCTGGATTTTTTAAAAATATTGTATTAATCATAAATTCTTTTTGTTTGTTTCAGGCAAAAGACTATCAGGAGTTTCTAGTCAGCAATAAATGTAGATCCGGTCTTTTGTCTTTTCTCCAGTCGAAGAAGTTAGAAGTTTAGTTTTCAAAATTTTTTAGAAAGTGGCGTAGTTCAAAAGAGGTTTAGTTTTTAAAATCTCCAGTCTTGGATAAGGAAATTCTCAATTGTCCAAGTCAAGATTATCCCAAAGGTGCTTTTCAAACAGCAGCTTGTGGGGTTTTTTTTCCCTTGAAAATGTTTCACTTCTCGTTCAAGAAGCTTCTTCAGAATGGAAGAAGTTTCTTGAATGAGAAGTGAAACGTTTTCAAGGAAAAACCCCAGGAAAGTTCAGCTGCCTTTTAGAAAAAGTGTTGTTGAGGCACTTTGATGCGCTGAATCAAACCAGACGACCAAAACTGCTTGATACCTTGAATATCCCTATGTGAGAGAGGGTGAGATGGAAACATTTTCTTTCTGGGCAAAGAACAAATCTTTCTCCAGCTTCAACCGATGGGGTTGGCTTTTGTAACCCCGGAGAACCTTTGCCTTGTCACAGGCCTGGAAAGAAAGGAGGATTGTCTTACCAACAATGAGGCGCTCCGTCTCGGGAAGCTGTTTGAAAAGTTTCCTGAAGTCTTCATTCCGTTGTTTGTAGGTTGGACTCAACACCTGAGAAGAGTGGAAAGCATGTTAGAAGGAAAGGGAGCTAAAGGAAGATCAGAGTAACAAACTTAGGGAAGTTCTCTAGTCTTTGTCTACAAAGTCTTCCCCCTAAGATGAGCTCAAGTCCTGGGAGGGAAGGAGAGGGAGGTAAAGAGGGAGGGCGGGAGAGAGAGAGAAGGAGAGGGAGGGAGGGAGGGAGGGAGAGAAAGGGGAGAGAGGGAGAGAAAAGGAGAGCCTTGGTAGTACAGTGGTCTAAAGCACCCTGTTATTAAGACCAGCTGCCTGCAATTACTGCAGGTTCGAATCTCGCCAGGCTCAAGGTTGACTCAGCCTTCCATCCTTTCTAAGGTAGGTAAATTGAGGACCCAGTTTGTGGGGGCAATAAGCTGACTTGGTATAAATATACAAAAAGGATGAAGGCTATTGCTTAGCGCATTGTAAGCTGCCCTGAGTCTCCGGAGAAGGGCGGCATATAAATCAAATTTTTTTTAAAAAAGGGAGAGGGAGAGAGGGAGGAAGAGAGAGAGAAGAGGGAGAGAAGAGGGAGGGAGGGAAAGAAGGAGAGAAGGAGAGAGACGGAGCGATTTGAAGTAAGCAAGAAAAAGCAGTTGATATGTAGACAGACAGACGATGATAGATAGATGATAGATAGATAGATAGATAGATAGATAGATAGATAGGTAGATAGGTAGGTAGGTAGATAGGTAGATAGGTAGATAGATAGATAGATAGATAGATAGATAGATAGATAGATAGATAGATAGATAGATAGATATAGAGAGAGAGAAAGAAGAAAGGAAGGAAGGAAGGAAGGAAGGAAGGAAGGAAGGAAGGAAGGAAGGAAGGAAGGAAGGAAGGAAGGAAGGAAGAATAAATGGTCAGGCAAAAAGACCATCCATTCCATCCCAATTATTGATGCCTTAACACGGAATAGTAAAGAAGGTTCTATCTGCACCAAACCATTATTGAACATTTTTATTAAAAGGAAAATCTTGTTTTGAGAGTCGCATCCTCATCATCCTCATCATTTTTCCTTCACACATCAACCGAGAGGAAAGCACTAAAGCGATAGTAACAGGATTGAAACTGGCGAAACCTTCTGCGCATCTACAACAAGCCGCTTCTAAGCAAGAGGGAGAAGACCATCTTAAGGAGGCCCGTTCCGGACAGGACAACACTCACAGCTGGAATTTCTTCCCAGGCTGAATCACGATAATCTTCAGGAAAATCGTACAGCCATTCCAAGTGAGACAGCAGACACTGGTCCTCCATTTCTAAGAGAAGGCTCGAAAGAATCCCGCATTCGGAGAGGACCTCCATAGCTGCAGCAACGTCTTTCGTTCTTCAGTCTTCACCGGCACGCAGGACAAACGTCCTTCACTTTGCACAACAACTGTCACCAAAATAAGAAACTCACAGTGGGCACTTGCTTGAGGGCACTAGACCAATTTCCCCCATCCACTTATGTGTGAGTTTTTTTGGAGAAGCCAAGAGGGTAGAGAAAGCAATCCACCTCTGGTGGACAATTTAAGAAGACTACGTTTGTTCCACCTTCGTGTCCAATCACAGCTCCCTGGTTTCACCACGCTGCCTTCACAAAGGTGCGAGCTGGAAGAACTCCAATGTTTCTGCTCTCTGGAAAAAAGTTGTGTGCGGGATCAAGCTGAAGGGGATCATGCTTCTAATCCCAGAGGATTGAACGGTGTCAAATCTTCACAATTCTAAAACAGTGGCAAGAAAGCATCAACCAAATCCGTCAGGAGCCAACTGCACTTCAGAGGTTTCTTCAAAAAAAAAAAAAAAAAATCAATCTTGCAAGAATCTTCTCAAATCTGGGACTTTTATCTTTGGAGGAGCTGCAAATATTCCTTCTGGTTCGGAGTTCTCCCCTCTCTGAGTCCAGGATGAGCACAATCGTAATTTCTGAACTCACAAACGGGGGACTTTCCTTGTTTCCTCTCTTCTCCGAAGAGACAGTTTTTGCTCTTGGCTTATTTATTTGTGTTTTTTTTTTTTCCTACTTCTCGTAGAAGAAACGGGTGGGGAAAAGACAACGAAACGTTGAGCACATGCCTTACATTTCAGCCTCTGGGTGATTCTGTTGGCCAATGCCCTGGAGTAACCCAGCCTCGGCCCTCCCATCCACAACAGATGTTTCCTGTAATGCAGAGTTCCTGGGCAGAGTTTGTTTTGGAGGGTGGAGAGAAGACGACACCAGAGAGCCAATCTCAGAGCATGAAATCCCAAATCCTCCCTCGCTGGGGAACTGTTTTGACTGAACAAGCTAGGCTCGCTTTGCACGGACCGTCGAGAACAGCGTGGATGGGTTCAGGGAGAAGAAACGAAGCTCCCTTCCACTCAGCTCTCCCTTTACCAACTTCTCTAGGAGGTAAATCAAGAACTTTGGAGAACTTCCTTCGCTGTTTGCTCACATCTTCAAATGAATCCCTTCTCGGTCTTTTCAAACTGATCCTGTTCGGCGGAAGTTTGAACTTGAATGACTCACTAAGAGCGGTAACTTAGGATCTGCAAGCGTGATGCGAGTTGATAGTAACATGTAGGCCCAAACCAGGGATGAAATCCAGCAGGTTCTGGCGAACCAGTAGCGTAAATTTTGAGCAGTTCGGAGAACTGGCAAATACCACCTCTGGCTGGCCCCAGAGTGGGGTGAGGTGGGAATGGAGATTTTGCAATATGCTTCCCCTTGAATGGGGAGGGAATGGGGATTTTGCAGTATCCTTCCCCCGGGAGTGGGGAGGGAATGGAGATTTTGCAGTATCCTTCCCCTGCCATGCCCACCAAGCCACGCCCACCAAGTCACACGAAGCCCACCAAGTCACGCCCACAGAACCGGTAGTAAAAAAATTTGGATTTCACCACTGGCCCAAACCACGAACTGAAGCGAGGCGCAACCGTGTGTGAAATGAATCAATCGGTCTGAAGCGATTCTGAGGTCTTTCCAGAGATTCCGATCCCCATTTTTGATAACTATTCGCCTCTCTTTGGTTTGAAGCAGCTCAATGGCAGCCTGAGTGGCGTAGGAGGCTAATGCCTCCTACTAAGGCAGCATTTAACATCCAGCTGCCTGCAATTACTGCGAGTTCAATTCTCACCAGGCTCAAGGTTGACTCAGCCTTCCATCCTTTCTAAGGTGGGTAAAATGAGGACCCAGTTTGTGGGGGCAATAAGCTGACTTTGTATAAAAATATACAAAAGTATGAAGGCTATTGCTTAGCGCATTGTAAGCCGCCCTGAGTCTCCGGAGAAGGGCGGCATATAAAAATAAATAATAATAATAATAAAATTAATAATAATAAATCCAGGAAATTTTTCCATGGAATGGAAAAGAATCATTACTGGAAGATGACTTATTATATACTTGTCGTATGGCGCATTCACATCACATTTCGATAAAAACACAAGAGATAAAAATACAAAATGCAAAAAATCTAAAATATTATAAACGTACATCTGGATTACAGATATAATTTTTCTTTTTGCTTCATTTGTCATAGTCAGGAAATCAGCAGTCTCTATTAGAGTTTCTATTACTCTAGCACTATATGTTGGATAGATGACTTAGGAATAAATGACCTGAAGGGTATACATTACATAATAAGTAATTAGCTATCCAGGAGCCTGGATAGCTCAGCAGACTAATGCATTGTAGTTAACATTCATCTGCCTGCAATTACTGCAAGTTCGAATCTCACCAGGCTCAAGGTTGACTCGGCCTTCCATCCTTTCTAAGGTAGGTAAATTGAGGACCCAGTTTGTGGGGGCAATAAGCTGACTTTGTATAAATATACAAAAGTATGAAGGCTATTGCTTAATGCATTATAAGCCGCCCTTCTCCGGAGAAGGGTGGCATATAAATCAAATCAAATCAAATCAAATCAAATCAAATCAAATCAAATAATAAAATAAAATAAAATAAAATAAAATAAAATAAAATAAAATAAAATAAAATAAAATAAAATAAAATGAGAATATTTGCAGCTCAGGATTGAGATGAGGGGTCCTTGGTGCTCTCTGAGCTTGCTGCTTTTCTTGCAGACGGTTTCATTACCCAAACTTCAGCGGACTGCTAGCTGCAGTTCGGCAGTTCAAATCTCACTGGCTCAAGGTTGACTCAGCCTTCCACCCTTCCGAGGTGGGTAAAATGAGGACCCAGACTGTTGGGGGCAAGAGTCTGACTATGTCAACCACTCAGAAAGGGCTGTAAAAGTACTATGAAGCGGTATATAAGTCTAAGTGCTATTGCTTTTAACAACTTGCAGTGATTCGCTTTCTAACCACAGCAAATGGGGCAGAACTCCCTTAACAAATGTCTGACTTAGCTACAGAAATTTTGGGACTCCATTGCGGTCGTAAGCTGAGGACTACCTGCATTTGCCCTTGCTGTTTGGGGTGGGGGTGGGAGTAAAGCCAACTTCATGGTTTACATAGGACACCAGCTGCTAATAGCAACCTTGGTCTACCCCCAGGTGAAACCAGAGTAACTGGTAGATGGTAGATGGAACACGTATGAAAACAATGGAGTCTTTTCAGTGCTGGATTGATTGATGGGTGGGTGAAGGGATGGATCGATGGAGGGATGGGAGAAACTTCAGAAAGATGTTTATCTCTCTCTCCCTGCCCAAAGTGGAAGTCAACGGCCCTTGGAGAAGCAGGTGTAAACATTAACTCTACCGCAAACAGGAGGAGCTGGGACAGTCTGGTACAGGAAGAGCAGAAAGTTAATGACTGGGTGGTGTTGAGATGGATGACGTAGCAGGAGACACAATGGCTCGGTCTTTTGGGTTGGTTGACTTCCTTCAATGCAAGGTGTTTTTGCTCACCCAGCCGAACGCGGTAGGAGGAAATCAAAAGAGGGCACGGGACAGACGCGGTGGCAGGTGGGGAATCTGGCCAAGTCAACAAGAACCATGAGAAGGGACGAGGGTCATCAGATCCAAGAGTTGTGAATCACGAAAGGGTAGAGAGCGGTCAGAACACGAGATGGTGGGAAGGAGACGCTACCATGCGGATCTTAAGAAAAACTAGAAGGTGAAGGGAAGAATTTCAGGATGGGGATCGTTGTACCGTAGCTCAGCTTTATAAAAAAAAAACCAACAACACACCTATTTATGAGTGCAAAACACACACAATTATCCTCTGATGCTTTTGTTTTATTTGCACTGAGCCAAAGGCCTCGGTTACAGGTATCGGCAGATAATACTGGAATACACTCAGTCAGAAACATATTTAACAGAATAACAAGAGTTGGAAGGAATCTCGGAGGTCTTCCAGTTCAACCCCCTGCTTTGCGATCTACGGGGCAGAGGGTTCCCCTGTATTTCACACCAGTTAAAGAAGGCATTAGTAGGTATTCATTAAGATAGGCTCTAATGTGAAAACTTTTTCAAATAGGCCCAAATATTTGTTTGTTTGTTTGTTTGTTTGTTTGTTTGTTTCCATTTCTATACCGCCCTTCTCCAAACAGGACTCAGGGCGGTGAACAGCCAAAGTAAAAAACAGAACATACAAAATTTAAAAACAGTTTAAAATAATTAAATATTTTGGCCGTAAATTAAAACAACCCAATTTAAAATCAATTTAAAATGTAACTCAAGCCAGCCCAGCTAGTTGAAATAAATAGGTTTTCAGGGCCCGACGAAAAATATATATAAAATATAATGCCTTAAAAAGAGAACAAGTTGCATTCTTATTAAGTCACTGAGTCCGTTCGAAGTAGTAAGTCACAAAATAAATGCACTCTAAATTAATCCCCAGCTACCGTGTTTCCCCGAAAATAAGACCCTGTCTTATATTTTTTTGAACCCTGAAATAAGATCTTGGCCTTGATCCAGGCAGATGGCCCTGGCCCCATCTCTGCCTCTGACGCAGAGCCCTCATCCGGGCCTTCCCCTGACTCCAGGACTGGCCCATTGTCCTTCCCAGCCTCCTCACCGTCCGATTCCGCTACCCGCTCCGCAAGCTGCTGGCGGACTACAACAGGAAATTCCGAGTTCTGTTACAGTCTTAAGTCAAGGACCTCCCGTTTAGTAGATTGTCACCCACCCAACACAGCAAATCCTCATGGGGAGTGGGCTACAGAGACAGCTACGAAGCTGAGATGCCTGCTAATATCGAGGCTGACACGCTCAAATCAAGTTAAAATGGTCAAAACATGCAAAAGAACATGATTCTAGCTAGGCGGATAGCGCTTGGACGGACACAAGATTCTACCAATGAAAGCCTACAGGGGAAGATTTGCTTGAAAAGTTAAAGGTGAGAAGGTGGGAAGGTGAGATGAACTTTTTCTGCAGCTCAGAAAGTTCATGGGAACCATAGGGACGGGACAGGAAAGTTCATGGGAACCATAGGGACGGGACGGGAATTAGCAAAAGGGACATCACAACAGTAAGGAAGGCTGGTAGGAAATCAAACCACCAGCAAAAAAAACTTGCAAGAATAGAGCTGGGTGCCATCACTCATTTACCATCAGGGGTCTCCTAAGAAGGTACAAGGTCGAAAAAGATCGACCCAATCAATGAACTGTCCACAGAATGTGGAAAAAATTAAAAAAAAACTTTAATTAAAAAAAAAAAGAAGGTACAAGTTCTGAGTCCATTCCAAGGCAGAGGTTCTAGAGCTCTGTACATAATTTATTTTATTTTATTATTTATTTTGTCGCATTTCTATGCCACCCAACTCCCAAGGGACTCTGGGTGGCTTACAACAAAGAATAAAACAATGCGAACAATCCCATAAAAAACGTTAAAAAGAAAAACATTAAAACATTAAAAACTTTAAAAACGTTAAAACACATGCACTCTAATGGCTTTATTAATACCTGTGTTTTCCTGAAAATAAGACCCTGTCTTATATTTTTTTTTGAACACCAAAATAAGCTCTTGGCCTTATTTTCGGGGAGGTCTTATTGTTTTGGGGCGCGTGGAGCAAGACGGGGTTCCTCTTGCCGTCTTACCTGATTTCCAGCTCTGTGTTTAAATATTTTCAGGAAGGGCTTATTTTCAGGGGGGGAGGCTTATTTTAGTGCATGCGCTCAAAAGCCCGATTGAGCTTACTATCAGGGGAGGTCTTATTTTCGGGGAAACAGGGGTAATAAGCAGTGGTGGGATTCAGCCAGTTCGCACCACTTCGGGAGAACCGGTTGTTAACTTTCTGAGCAGTTTGGCAAACTGGTTGTTGAAAGAAATCATTAGGGCAGAGAACCGGTTGTTAAATTACTCGAATCCCACCACTAGTAATAAGTGACCCACACAATCAACAGAAACGTTAGTTGAATTTCTTTTGGGATTTGAGAGGCGTCTCTCAAATCTGAGTAGTATCCAGAATTCTTTTTTTAATGTTTCATTTCGGACCATTAGAATTATAAAATAGAACCAGGCAGCCTTTCGGGACTCAAGAGAGCAATAAAAAAGTGGGATTTTGACATTTTGGATTTATGGGGGGTGGGGGAGAAAGAAACCAGCCCTATTCTATCCGCACTGTTTTCATCTGGGGGAGGACGAGCGGGAGGACGAGGAAAAAAATTAAATCCAGCGACAGAGCAGTCTTTGCTTACTCTTCGGATGTGTTGTCTTTCATGCTGAAGGTACATGGAGGAGAAACAAGGTGACATAAATAAAATAAGAAGGACAGGACAGGTGCTGCTTGCTTTACATGCACGTATGAAATACAAAACCCGTCACCGAATGTTAGCCAAACCATCACCTAGTCTTCGAAAGCAATTGCAATGTTTTTTTGGCTTGAGCCATTCAACCTCTTAATATCGC